TTGATAGTCTTTCATGAGTTAAGGAGCTGGTACGTCAACTACTTCAGCACCTGCGCGTCTTGACAAGGTTGTCGGCCGGGTATTGCATCCCGTTGCAATGAAGTATACAGGGTGGCTATCCATCCAGGCCACTGCAATCAAGTTTGGTTCAGTCTTGGAGTGGGCAATCCGGTATGCCCCTCTCGCCATTTTTTTGGTTTTTAAGCTTGCTTAAACGGGATGTCCTTACAGTAGCCTCGCCAATTTGTTTGAAAGGTGCCGACGTGGTAGAGGCCACGTTGTAGAACGATAGCCGAAAGCAGCACACTTGAGTAGAAACGATCGGTGATGATCAGACGCTTCCCTGATAGACCTTCAAGCACCTTTTCGACGCTACGAATCACAGCATTTGGGTCTTGGCTTAGGTCTGCACGTCACTATTAAGCTTCCATTTGGTATATCTCGGCTCTATACAGAATGAGACACAAGCCTAACTACTCCGTATCCTGCTCAATACAATGTACTGCTGAATGAGTGATTCTCTATCTGTAGCAGTACCCGCAATCTGCATCGCACGTCCCAAAGCTATTAGTACCCTTTGGTTGGAGCTTCCCTCGAAGATTCTTCCGCATGGGGTTGCACGTGCTTCTTATCGGTGTCATTCCTTCGTCGAAGGCGATTCGTTGCCCCACCGTCATCCTCGTCTTGGACGTTGCGTTGATCGTGTCGGCGACAGCCTTGATCTTCCACGTTTTCAGCTTCACAGCATCAGCATGACGGTTGTCATAAAAATGCAAGAATCGTACGAACTCTTCGAATCGCTGTCTCACCATGTAGCGCCCAAATGTGCCTCTAGGAACTGCGTTTTGTAAATCCAACGCCCATTTCTTCGGCAGCTTTTCACGGTGCGGGCAAATGGTTCGGACATACAGTAAGCCGATGAAATGCACCACCTCATGGGCGTGAATTGACTTGAATGATCGTTGCTCAGTCTGGGCTTGATGTACCGTTTCCATCTTGTTCTCAGGTCGCCTCAGCTTGATCCGTCGCTGCCGTGTCATTATTTTATCCGCTGCCTGCGTTCGATACTGAAGCTGGTACCGATTTTGATTCCGTAGCGACAAACATCCACATTGATTTAGGCAAGAACAGGAAAAATAATCCTTCCAATTACTTTCCAGTGGTGTAGTCAACTCCGTAGGTGTGGCGGAGCAGCGTGTAAGCTCTGCAGATGGCAGCTGAAGTGGTGCGCCTACATAACAATGATATACGGATATTGTGTCTAGTACAGGATAAGCAAAGCATATAACACTAGCTATTCGGTTTACTACAGGAAAATACTCACATAAATCTTCGAAGTAGCTAGCCTAGCCTGTTTTTGCGAGTTAGCTTAGGTGTTTCTTGCTCATCTGGTCGAATAAAGCTCCAGCTTAGGGATCGACCGCATCTTCCTCATCGCTGGTATTTTTTACCTCTTCACCGTCTGAGCTTTCACTTGTACCTTCAACATCAGACTCATCGCCTTCATCAACTTGAAGTCGGTCTCGTCGCCTAAGCTTAAGTGGTTAGCACCAACAAATATTGTCACCTCTGTTGAACGAACAGTACACGCTCGTTTTGGAAGTGGTGACGGAACAGGAGACACAGCGACCTCCTTACGCACATGTTTCTTTTCTGGCGTCTGGCCTTAGCAGCAGCTTGGGCGGGGGACTTGGCCGGCGTATTGATTGGTGACATGGCAGGCGCTTTAATAGGCGCCTTCGCAGGCGACTTAGTCGGTGTGTTCGCGGGTGACTGGGCAGGCGAAATTACGGGAGGGTCGGCTGGCGGCTTCGAATTGATAGGGGGCTCGCAGTGGCGAATCGTTTGACAGGTGGCATGTCATGGAGAACAACGATATGAGCTAATTACAACAGAAAAAATCAAAACGCGCCGATTCGTACCGTCAACTGGCACGTGTTGCCATACTTCGGTAGCTCCGTCGAAAAAGGTGGCAAGGTGTGTTCCGCTAGGCCTTCATTCCATCCATCAGATATAAAGCAGCGATTGTCGGTCGCGGGCCCCTTTGGCCGCTTAAATAGCCAACATAGCTTCTTCCGCCTGGTCCACAGCTGTCCTCTTGTAATTGGCCGCGCTACCCTTCCCCCCTCGTCTAAATGCGAAAATTGGCGCGCTCTCTAAATCTCGAAATAAAACTGGCACGAATTATTGGCTCAAGGTTAGCTACACCACCGTCAAACTTTATATTTGGTAGCCTCACTTGAAGTTTTTAAAATCGTAATAGGTTTACTAAGAGCCTGATTTGTCTTGAACATTATCCTGTATAGTACAGGATACGAAATGCTGAAAGCAGGGCTAGATGGGTTAAATGTATATTAATAGTACTGCTGCTAATATGCATAATTTTATCTGCATCACATGATATACATCTTATTCTAGATAGAATACAAAGCTTTGATGCGGTGTATCTTAGCATAAGCTTAATCCAACTTTACAGCACTTCACCGCGTTTTTAGATTCCGTGATCGGACTTACAGATTGCATATTTGAAGCACTTTCTTACTTACTGACCTACTTCGTAAAACTTCGAACTGAGGTACGCAAGAATTGCTCGTGATACATGAAGCTTGTAAATAAAAATGCTTCTACTGCTCGCTGTAGCTGGATATGTCGTTTATGAGTTGCCGTTACTGGACTGCGTGGACTACGGTGCCACCACAAGCTAACTAAGATAGTGGAGGTAGAAAATACGAGCGCCAAGATGGCGCAGTTGCTGAATGCAATTTCTAGAGTGTGCTCTTTAGGAGAAATAAAAGGACGTTGTACGGCGCGCATTCGTTGAAGCAATACCCACCATGTTACAATCTGTAGAAGAATCATGAATGCGTCGTTGCTACCGAAACGACTGAGATTGGAGCCTAATAAAAGCAAGGAGAACACTGCTTGAGATTTATAATTATTAACCTATTGGGTTATTTTAACTTTTAAAAGAGAGATTTGTTTTACCCACTTTTCTTCAATCAACATTCATTGGTTGAAAGGGTTTTTATGTTACCCGTGGCCGCTTTCATTTGTGTTTTCTGTGATGTCCACAGAATAATGGTCATAGGAGGTCAAACGATCATTTTTTGGTACGTAGTGGTGCATTCATTAACATTTGGGTACGCGCGAATTTGTTCAAAGAGAGAATATGATATAAGAAACGAAACATGAGATAACAGGTTTACCAAATTATAGAAGACTGAAGAAACAGTGATATTTAGGCTAATGAATCACACAAACAGTTAAAATTAAATTTAGGTCGAGTGCCGTCTCTGGAGAAACTCTGGATTAGAATCCAAAGAATTGATGTGCGGCGACGGTGAAAGATCCCGCACAGGTGTCAGAAGCGTAGCCCCTCGAGCGCTTGTAAGAACACATTGGTTTTTGTTATTTGTCTCCATTAAATGGAGCTACGGTGACCATCCAACAAAGAGAGCTGTTCTACAAGAGCGGACCTGATTCTTGGTAATAACAGCAAAAGTTGCCTTCATCACTCAAATCAGCACTGTTTCTTATGTAGCAATGATGACGAATGTTGTTTCTTGAAACAAACAATTTTTACTTGAATTGGAGCATAGGCCACAATTAAAATACAGCTTAAATTCGAGCGAGGTGGAAAACGTTGCAGAAGGTTTCTAACAGTTTTGACGTCTTGAAAGAATCATCCGAATCGACCACTTTACATATATGCTGTAGAACATAATTTTTGAGTCAACAGAATTATTCGAACGGTTCAGCGGTGTGAATACCGCTTCCACAACCTCTCAGTTTATCATATGCCGAAAGTGTTTCTAAACGACTGCATGTGACGGGCAATGAATGCATTGATAGAGACGTTGTACATCGTTTATTTGCTGACTTCATCACTATTAATAATGACAAAATCGCTAAAGCCCGATTGTGATCATCTCGAATTATTCAGCCACGTGGTATAATTGACAAATCGACAGGATTATGTATCGATTGAAATACCGGTAGTTGGAAAAATTGAAGATAGCCCTGTGTCAACCCGAGTTGTTAAAGTACCCGTATTCAACGTAAAGGTGGTCATGTCCACAGCTTCACCACGACTGCTTTTCGCGGAAAAAGTGCAAGGGTTGCATGATAAGTAGGGTGTTAATTTCCCAAAGAGCAGTTTATGGCTGGACTTCTGCCCGTTTCGCTAAGCTCCCAAAATTTACCCTTAAACCAGACCCACTCGCGGAATTTGGAACGCCGCCATATTGTGCACATAATAAGATGCGTTGAAGACGTGCAGTCTTTTTGATAGCGACTGTGAAAATTTAATCCTTCATAATTTGCATGCAAGCAGCGAGGTTCCATCCTCACCCAACCCCACAATTATTCGTTTGATGCGCGCAACTTCTTTATCCGGATACCATGTGCAGCTACAACTCTATCCCAGTGCAGGTCTCCTTCAACGCGTACGAGGAGCTTGGCTTCGAGTGTGCCGTATGCACATATTTTAATAGCTAGATTTACTCGTAGAAGTAGCTGATACGGGCAACATCTGAGAAGCTTATGTGTAACAAAATGATTAGGTCGATCAATCGAGCATCTGCAGGAGCTGCGCTGAGATCGGCCTCACTCTATAGCAATTCGCGATTTTTGTTTTACTCAAGTTCAATAGAATTATGTTCAACTAAGTACGACCTCGTAATTGAAGTGTTATGAGATAATACGCTACATATGCGCAACCTCGTGCTGAGGTGCGAGACGACACACGAGTTGGCGTGAGCTCACGCCTGACCGCCAAATTGAAGCTTTCGCCCTTTTGATCTAGCAAGACAACTCCAGGACAAAATTTAACATCAAGGAGATCCGCTTTTGGATCTGCTTCCGGTATCGGCTTGTAAGTCGTCTCCGTTGTCCGTAGACCGACATCTGCGCGACTTTGATGCGGCCATTCCAACATTTGCTTTTTGCACCACAAGCGGGACACGAACAAATCTGCTATTGCCGCGAGTAGAACACGCGAAATGAAGCTGACACAATGGGTGCGCGTCGCAGCAGTGATCGCCACGGCGACTGCATCGGCTGTCGCATTTGACCTTTCGCTGCTCGACGACGATACCAACTATCGCAAGGGCAGGTTGCATGCCCCACAAGAAATTGAAGAGGAGCGTGCGGCTTCAGCTGGAGGATCGCTAACTCAGACATCGGTGGACGCTGCTACTAGCACCTCAGCATCTACGTCTACCAGCTTCTCATCATCTGGGCCCGACGGCACTCTTGCCGGTTCTGCTTTAAGTTTCACCTCAAATTCTGCTGCTACCTCTTCCGATTCCGGCTCGGACGCTGGTCTTTCAAGCTCCAGTTTGGCTGCCGCACTCTCGAATTCTGGGTCGGACACAAGCCTTCCAAACTCCGGTTCGGATGCTAGTCTTTCGATGTCTGGGTCCGAGGACAGCGCAAGTGCTGACACTTCAACATCTAGTTCGACTGATACCCTGTCCGCTTCAGAATCCGATGCTGCTTCGACGTCTGGCTCTGGTGATAGCCCCGTGGCCTCATCGACCGGTTCGTCGGCTACCCAGAATACTGGAGGAGGCGACTTTCTTGCGCCGTTCTCGACAGAAGAACCGTCGACAACTCTCTTCCCTCGTAGTGCACTTGGCGAGATGGCTCCGATCATTAACGTTGCGGAAGGTCTGCTGGGCAAGCCACTACCAACGAACAAATGGTGGGGTAACATTATCCACACTACCGCTGAAGAGATGGATACGAAAGCCAACCCTGGCTGGTCCAACCCGTACGCCGTCAAGCTGCCGAAGGAAGCTCCGTACGGCATCCAAGCTTGTTACTCGTACAACTACCGTCAGCTGTCCGCTCTCACCGATGGCGTCGCGGAGTTTTATCTGCACGACTTTGTCAACGACCTCACGTTGTCGGCCACGGAATTTGCCGGTGAAGCCAAGCCCACGTATGAGATTTACGCCTTCAGCGACTTTGGCATCAACGTTCGAGCCTGTCTCGAGAACAAGGTGCAGTGCTTGGACTCTGCTCTTGTGCACGGCATGGCCTTCATCACAGCCACGTACGACCGTCTGACCGCTCGGATCGAGTCGGAATACACCATGGAGATCGTGGACAAGTCGGTGCCAGGCAAGTACATCCTTCAGCTTGGTGGGAACCAGACGTGGGTCGTGTACACTGGTAACAACGGCAGCTTTGCGCTCGCCGAGTCGGGCAAAGCTCTCGAATCCAGTGGGTTGTTCAGTGGCACCGTGCGTGTTGCCATTCTACCATCGAAAAAGGCCACTACCGTCTACGATAAGTACCGGGCGTGTCACGTCCGTGGTGGGAACGTGTCTGTGGAGTCTCGTACTCAATACTCGTTAAACTGGGAAACGGTGGGGAAGAGCTGTAAGACCAACGGGATGCTTCACTTCGCACTGCCTCACCACCTCCCAGCGTTGAAAGGAGCCATCACTGCTAAAAGCCCCAAAGCGATTGTCCTTAACTCGGCCACTCGAGGCAAAATGGTCGCCCAAGTGGCCACGACTGGAAAATGGGTCCTTTCGGAGCCGGAAGATGAGTTGGAGGTGGACTTCTACCCAACCAGTAAACCGTCTGCCGAGGTCGTAGCAAAAGTGGGTCTTCTCCAGACTCTGCAGGCCGATATCGCTGACCACTGGGCGCTCAACAAGACGAGTTGGTACTTTAACGGCAAGCAGTACCAGAAGTACGCGTCGGTGTGTCTCATGGCTGCAGACTCGGCCATCGTGGGCAAGGACAAGAAGCTGCTCAGCGCATGCCTGACGAAGCTCGAGAAGCTCCTTGTGCCGTTCCTGGACAACACGCTGGACCCTCCTCTCCACTACGAGACGTCGTACGGCGGTCTCGTCAGCAGTCAGAGCTTCACGGTCAAAGACGTGAACGCAGACTTCGGGAACAGTGTCTACAACGACCACCACTATCATTACGGCTACTGGGTCACCGCGTCTGCCATGCTCAAGAGTCTACACCCCAAGTGGGAGCGCATCAAAGAGCTGGACAGGATGATCTGGATGATGCTACGCGACGTGGCCAACCCCAGCACAGACGACCCTTTCTTCCCTCAGTTCCGCCACTTCTCCTTCTACCTCGGCCACTCGTACTCGCACGGTGTCACGCCCATGCTCGACGGTAAAGACGAAGAGAGTACGTCTGAAGATGTGAATTTCTACTACGGTATGAAGCTCTGGGGTCAGGTGTCCAGCAACAAGGCCGTCGAGGATCTAGGCAGTCTCATGCTACGTCTCAACGCCCGCGCTATCCGCACCTACTTCCTCATGACGTCGGACAACACCATCCACCCTACTGAGTTCGTACCCAACCACGTGACGGGCATCTTCTTCGACAACAAGGCGGCGTATGCGACCTGGTTCAGTGGCGAGAAGTACGCCATCCACGGCATCCAGATGATCCCAGTGTCGCCAATCAACGCTATGGTGCGCACGACAAAGTTCGTCCAGCAGGAATGGGACGATATCCTCTCCAAGCAGCCAATCGTCACGGAATCCAACACCTCCAACGCGTGGTTATCGCTGCTTCTCGTCAACCAGGCTGCTGTGGATCAGGAGGACGCGCTGACCAAGCTACAGGAAGCCACAATGGACGATGGTCTCACCCGTTCTTGGGCTCTATACAACGCAGCTTCCCGTCCTCACAACGCCAAGCAGGTGGATGTAGCTTAGAAAAACGTACAAACTACGTAGATGTTGCACTTGTGTCGCTCGAATGAACTAGTTTTGCGTCGGTTTTGAGGCTTTCATGGCTCCACATGATCATTTGCCGAGGATTTCTCTGTTTGAAGCGTCAAGTCATTACGATCTCCATCTAGCAAGCGTACGAGACGTTGGGCTTGGACCGAGATGTTACCCAGGAAAAAGTGAAGAAGACGTATCGAAAGCTGCCACTGCAGTTCCACCTGGACAAGATTTCGGATCCACCAGCAACAGTAAAGATTCTTGTTTGCTTTCTCAGCTTTGTCTCTTTGTTTGTACATTGATACTAGTAGTACGACGTGCCGGAGCTCAACTAATCTAGTCCGACTTTCTTGGCGGTCACACTGTCATGTGGAAGGCCGTACCGCTCGCAAACTTCCTTCATGTGAGTTATCTGAAGCTGAAAAATATATTATGCAAAGTATGTTCAAGCGGTTAGTAACTCACTATCCGAGTGGAACCGAAAAAGCTGTAGACGAATGTATTCGACACTGTAACACATTTGAGGTAGTTGGCATTCACACACCGCGTCTCCTTCTGAAGATGTTCACGCTGCTGCTATGACGTCGTTGGTCACACCAGTGAACCCATGCTCAAGAACAATATTCAAAGGACCTCACGCTTTTTAAAAACCTCCTTGGTGACCTCACAACGGCGGCTACGACTTCACGCTGACTGTCAGCATTCATTTGGCATCGTTCACTATTGTATCATGCACTAGTATAACTTGTAGTAGTGAGCGCAGACGCGTACGGTGGCATTGCACTGTTGCACACATTGATGCTGACAAAGAAGAATTATTTGGATGTGATAGATAATATCTATTATCCATTTTTGGATTGTAGCGTAATAGTTGGTGTGGTACGCAAACCTTTGCAAAATTGAAGCTGCCTAGCCAATCACAGCACACGACGTTTCGCTACATGAGCAAGTTCGGCTGCTTGGGGCATCTGTACCGCTCTTTTCTTAGGACTGTATCTGCTTAAACAGCATTACGATTGCGCGGGTAGAAGTACTCACGCAGTATTGAAGGCATGGAGTGTAAGCCCCACACACCACAAAGGCCATCCGATTGCTTCGACCCACGACGGTTCATGGTCAATTGGACCGCTCAACAGCATCGAAAAGAGGCATTCACGGTCCTGCAGCTCCGTCTCCTCTGCCATCGACATTCATGCGGAGAGTGGACTCTCCCGTTTCGGTCGCTGCGTTTTGCTGCCGCGCCACTCGAATGGGGCAGCACATTCTGCAATTGGCCACGAATTGCTGGAGAACTCACCAACCTATCGTCGTTCCTCACGCAAACACGACTCGTCGACCGACGGTGATTATGTTGAGCCTCTTTCAGCCGGTGTAACACACCCGGCCCCACGCATCAGAGACCAGGCATGTCGCCGCCGCCGACATTAGCTCACCATACCGAGTAGCAGCTGGTACGGTGAATATGCTCGGTCAGAGTTCATACCCGACAGGGCTTTCATCGTGAAAGCTTATACACAGCTCTACTGGGTCGGCTCTGTTCGGGGTATGGTGTCCCATCCAGCCTGCCGATGAGATCATGTAGGATCAGCTTGACGGCTACCACATCGCCCTACCGCACCAATCGCGCCAACAGGAGTCATGCACGACCAAGGTCACTCCCTACACTGCAGTGACGGCCGCCACCATCAACAGTAGAATCAGGGCAGCTACCAAATACTCATTAATGCTTGTATCATATCTGGATAAAGGCCTGGTGGCAATCGACTTGTAGCTCAGTATCTCCACTACGGCAACACTTACGACATCCCATTACACGCCGGCGCTCGACAGACCCACTACCCGCCAGAGTTTGTCACCACCCACTTTTCACCAGAGCGCCACACTACCCGCTGCCCGCCAGAGCTCGTCTCCACCCACTGCCCACCAGACCTGAGCAGATCCAAGAAGATCAGCGGCAATACAGCGGGACTTCACACGCGAGAAGAACTTCGTCAGTGCAGTGATGCATCGAGTGCCCAGTTCATCCGTCCGCGAAAGCTGTCCCGCTCCCTCACTGTGGCATCGCCACGCATCTTTATATCGATATGGACATACGAGAAGTCTCACCACCGGCGAATGCCCTTCGACAACACGCTCTACTGCGAGCTTTTCCTTAAAATCCCGCGCAGCACAGGACCCAGTGGCCAGACACGATAAGTGCGCGTGGCACTGCGCCGCAGTAGCTCGTGGCTCTGGCGTGAGCGACATCAACCTCGGCGTCGCTGCAGCAGCCACAGTGGCACTGTCAGTGCCCAAGCTCAGCTAGCGTCGGTGCTCAGTACAGCCAGACCAAATCGGCATGGGCCGAGATCGGCATCAAGGTGCTCAAGGCATTGCACGTTGACTTCACCCCAATTGCTACAACTCACCGCCGTACTACCCCACTGTGTACTACACGCGCATGAGTGAGTACCCGCACAGCCCGCACATTGTCACCAATCCGAACTCGGGATCTACGAAGGGCCACATCCTACAGAAACCGATGCAGCCATGGGGGGGGGCTTTCGCAGTCAGCGCGCATAATGTCCAGCGTGCCTGTCGGATACTCTCACGCGACAGAACCACATCGCGCGTGAAAACGTGTTTGTAGCGGTCATGTTGAAGTGTCAAGATCGTGTCTCCATTTTGGGCAATTTTCTAGTCCCGACTTCATAAGTACGACCTTTTTTGCCAACCGAGATGGACTACTTTTTGGGTCCCAGAGAATTTGAGATCAACCATCTTGCCGCTGCGAGCGAGTAGAGGAGACCCATATTTGCTTGGTGGACGTCGTCAAACTCACCATACGGTGATTTGCGAGTCTGCTGATGGCCAATGACAGCAGCTGTTCTGCGCGGAGACTATCTCCAGATGATATTTGGTGCTTTGGGCAGATCTGCGGTGGTAGTTCTGCGTTTTTGTGCTCTTCACCACTGCGTTTCGGCGACACAAGGTGCAGCACATGTTTAGGCTGATTTGCAAAATTGGGCTGGCTGCAAATTCGACCACCAGCTCCGCCGTGAAATTTAGAGATATCTAGCAATACCAGTGGCCATGTTTTCCGCTGTTCAAGTGCGCTAGCGCGTCTGGCTTCTTTAAAGTTCATACTGCGAGCAAGGTGAAGTATCGAGTATGACTTTGCTCGATGTTGGCTCGCTGAAGGCGATCGTCAGGGTGCGATCCGATTCGCATACGTTCGTGAAACGCGGCAAAAAGCTGCCGAGAAGGTTTTTTAAAACCTTTTTCGGGGGTCAAGACCAATTGGTACGGATACGAATTATGTGTTTTATCGTTTTTTCTACTTCTAATTTGCTGAATGTGGATGGATGTTAATTGCCCGTCTTTAGGAAAATACTTCGAAGTAACAAGGATTTTGTCGGAAACTCCGGAAAGCGCGAGTTTCTTATATTTTACGTGTACTGAGGATTTAAGCTGTCTTAGCAACAAAGCTGTAAAAGGTTGGCCGAGTAAGTAGCGAGCGTCCGGTTTGCAGGTGTTGCCCGTGATCGCACCGGTCGCAACAGCCGCCATGCAAACTCCGATCCGCTTCGCATGTTGCTCTCGATGGCGTGCGTCGAGCTCTTTGTGGATGCACAACTTTTAAATGGCAAGCTACATATACCCATTACGGGTGGCCACCAGTCTTACAATTGAAGTTACAAGGGGGTGCTCTCTGGCTTGTCCGTTTTGCCTTGAACCTCAACGCATCATTCCTCAACTTGAGCTCGACAGCTCAATCTACCCAGAGACGCGCCGACGCTGATGCCTGTCGATGCTGTGAAGGCGTCGAAATGGTCTGCAAGAGCTAACTCCATTTGCTCCTAAGTGAAATAGCGAAACTGTGATCCGACCTTCAACTGCCTAGATACCTTCGACGTGCAGCACCCTCGAATCTGGACTGAGTCCGATGCTGCTTCGACGTCTGGCTCTGGTGATAGCCCCATGGCCTCATCAAATGGTTCGTCGGCTACCCAGAATACTGGAGGAGGCGACTTTCTTGCGCCGTTCTCGACAGAAGAACCGTCGACAACTCTCTTCCCTCGTAGTGCACTTGGCGAGATGGCTCCGATCATTAACGTTGCGGAAGGTCTGCTGGGCAAGCCACTACCAACGAACAAATGGTGGGGTAACATTATCCACACTACCGCTGAAGAGATGGATACGAAAGCCAACCCTGGCTGGTCCAACCCGTACGCCGTCAAGCTGCCGAAGGAAGCTCCGTACGGCATCCAAGCTTGTTACTCGTACAACTACCGTCAGCTGTCCGCTCTCACCGATGGCGTCGCGGAGTTTTATCTGCACGACTTTGTCAACGACCTCACGTTGTCGGCCACGGAATTTGCCGGTGAAGCCAAGCCCACGTATGAGATTTACGCCTTCAGCGACTTTGGCATCAACGTTCGAGCCTGTCTCGAGAACAAGGTGCAGTGCTTGGACTCTGCTCTTGTGCACGGCATGGCCTTCATCACAGCCACGTACGACCGTCTGACCGCTCGGATCGAGTCGGAATACACCATGGAGATCGTGGACAAGTCGGTGCCAGGCAAGTACATCCTTCAGCTTGGTGGGAACCAGACGTGGGTCGTGTACACTGGTAACAACGGCAGCTTTGCGCTCGCCGAGTCGGGCAAAGCTCTCGTTTCCAGTGGGTTGTTCAGTGGCACCGTGCGTGTTGCCATTCTACCATCGAAAAAGGCCACTACCGTCTACGATAAGTACCGGGCGTGTCACGTCCGTGGTGGGAACGTGTCTGTGGAGTCTCGTACTCAATACTCGTTAAACTGGGAAACGGTGGGGAAGAGCTGTAAGACCAACGGGATGCTTCACTTCGCACTGCCTCACCACCTCCCAGCGTTGAAAGGAGCCATCACTGCTAAAAGCCCCAAAGCGATTGTCCTTAACTCGGCCACTCGAGGCAAAATGGTCGCCCAAGTGGCCACGACTGGAAAATGGGTCCTTTCGGAGCCGGAAGATGAGTTGGAGGTGGACTTCTACCCAACCAGTAAACCGTCTGCCGAGGTCGTAGCAAAAGTGGGTCTTCTCCAGACTCTGCAGGCCGATATCGCTGACCACTGGGCGCTCAACAAGACGAGTTGGTACTTTAACGGCAAGCAGTACCAGAAGTACGCGTCGGTATGTCTCATGGCTGCAGACTCGGCCATCGTGGGCAAGGACAAGAAGCTGCTCAGCGCATGCCTGACGAAGCTCGAGAAGCTCCTTGTGCCGTTCCTGGACAACACGCTGGACCCTCCTCTCCACTACGAGACGTCGTACGGCGGTCTCGTCAGCAGTCAGAGCTTCACGGTCCAAGACGTGAACGCAGACTTCGGGAACAGTGTCTACAACGACCACCACTATCATTACGGCTACTGGGTCACCGCGTCTGCCATGCTCAAGAGTCTACACCCCAAGTGGGAGCGCATCAAAGAGCTGGACAGGATGATCTGGATGATGCTACGCGACGTGGCCAACCCCAGCACAGACGACCCTTTCTTCCCTCAGTTCCGCCACTTCTCCTTCTACCTCGGCCACTCGTACTCGCACGGTGTCACGCCCATGCTCGACGGTAAAGACGAAGAGAGTACGTCTGAAGATGTGAATTTCTACTACGGTATGAAGCTCTGGGGTCAGGTGTCCAGCAACAAGGCCGTCGAGGATCTAGGCAGTCTCATGCTACGTCTCAACGCCCGCGCTATCCGCACCTACTTCCTCATGACGTCGGACAACACCATCCACCCTACTGAGTTCGTACCCAACCACGTGACGGGCATCTTCTTCGACAACAAGGCGGCGTATGCGACCTGGTTCAGTGGCGAGAAGTACGCCATCCACGGCATCCAGATGATCCCAGTGTCGCCGATCAACGCTATGGTGCGCACGACAAAGTTCGTCCAGCAGGAATGGGACGATATCCTCTCCAAGCAGCCAATCGTCACGGAATCCAACACCACCAACGCGTGGTTATCGCTGCTTCTCGTCAACCAGGCTGCTGTGGATCAGGAGGACGCGCTGACCAAGCTACAGGAAGCCACAATGGACGATGGTCTCACCCGCTCTTGGGCTCTATACAACGCAGCTTCCCGTCCTCACAACGCCAAGCAGGTGGATGTAGCTTAGAAAAACGTACAAACTACGTAGATGTTGCACTTGTGTCGCTCGAATGAACTAGTTTTGCGTCGGTTTTGAGGCTTTCATGGCTCCACATGATCATTTGCCGAGGATTTCTCTGTTCGAAGCGTCAAGTCATTACGATCTCCATCTAGCAAGCGTACTAGACGTTGGGCTTGGACCGAGATGTTACCCAGGAAAAAGTGAAGAAGACGTATCGAAAGCTGCCACTGCAGTTCCACCTGGACAAGGTTTCGGATCCAGCAGCAACAGCAAAGATTCTTGTTTGCTTTCTCAGCTTTGTCTCTTTGTTTGTACATTGATACTAGTAGTACGACGTGCCGGAGCTCAACAAATCTAGTCCGACTTCCTTGGCGGTCACACTGTCATGTGGAAGGCCGTACCGCTCGCAAACTTCCTTCATGTGAGTTATCTGAAGCTGAAAATATTATTATGCATAGTATTTAGTAACTCACTATCCGAGTGGAACCGAAAAAGCTGTAGACGAATGTATTCGACACTGTAACACATTTGAGGTAGTTGGCATTCACACACCGCGTCTCCTTCTGAAGATGTTCACGCTGCTGCTATGACGTCGTTGGTCACACCAGTGAACCCATGCTCAAGAACAATATTCAAAGGACCTCACGCTTTTTAAAAACCTCCTTGGTGACCTCACAACGGCGGCTACGACTTCACGCTGACTGTCAGCATTCATTTGGCATCGCTCTCTATTGTATCATGCACTAGTATAACTTGTAGTAGTGAGCGCAGACGCGTACGGTGGCATTGCATTGTTGCACACATTGATGCTGACAAAGAAGAATTATTTGGATGTGATAGATAATATCAAATTATCCATTTTTGGATTGTAACGTAATAGTTGGTGTGGTACGCAAACCTTTGCAAAATTGAAGCTGCCTAGCCAATCATAGCACACGACGTTTCGCTACATGAGCAAGTTCGGCTGCTTGGGGCATCTGTACCGCTCTTTTCTTAGGACTGTATCTGCTTAAACAGCATTACGATTGCGCGGGTAGAAGTACTCACGCAGTATTGAAGGCATGGAGTGTAAGCCCCACACACCACAAAGGCCATCCGATTGCTTCGACCCACGACGGTTCATGGTCAATTGGACCGCTCAACAGCATCGAAAAGAGGCATTCACGGTCCTGCAGCTCCGTCTCCTCTGCCATCGACATTCATGCGGAGAGTGGACTCTCCCGTTTCGGTCGCTGCGTTTTGCTGTCGCACCACTCGAATGGGGCAGCTCATTCTGCAATTGGCCACGAATTGCTGGAGAACTCACCAACCTATCGTCGTTCCTCACGCAAACACGACTCGTCGACCGACGTTGATTATGTTGAGCCTCTTTCAGCCGGTGTAACACACCCGGTCCCACGCATCAGAGACCAGGCATGTCGCCGCCGCCGACATTAGCTCACCATTCCGAGTAGCAGCTGGTACGGTGAATATGCTCGGTCAGAGTTCATACCCGACAGGGCTTTCATCGTGAAAGCTTATACACAGCTCTACTGGGTCGGCTCTGTTCGGGGTATGGTGTCCCATCCAGCCTGCCGATGAGATCATGTGGGGTCAACTTGACGGCTACCACATCGCCCTACCGCACCAATCGCGCCAACAGGAGTCATGCACGTCCAAGGTCACTTCCTACACTGCAGTGACGGCCGCCACCATCAACAGTAGAATCAGGGCAGCTAAGATATACTCATCAATGCTAGTATCATATCTGGATAGAGGCCTGGTAGCAATCGACTTGTAGCTCAGTATCTCCACTACGGCAACACTTACGACATCCCATTACACGCCAGCACTCGACAACCCCACTACCCGCCAGAGTTCGACACCACCCACTTCCCACCAGAGCGCCACACTACCCGCTGCCCGCCAGAGCTCGTCTCCACCCACTGCCCGCCAGACCTGAGCAGATCCAAGAAGATCAGCGGCAACACAGCGGGACTTCACACGCGAGAAGAACTTCGTCAATGCAGTGATGCATCGAGTGCCCAGTTCATCCGTCCGCGAAAGCTGTCCCGCTCCCTCACTGTGGCATCGCCACGCGTCTTTATATCGATATGGACATACGAGAAGTCTCACCACCGGCGAATGCCCTTCGACAACACGCTCTACTGCGAGCTTGCTTAAAATCCCGCGCAGCACAGGACCCAGTGGCCAGACACGATAAGTGCGCGTGGCACTGCGCCGCAGTAGCTCGTGGCTCTGGCGTGAGCGACATCAACCTCGGCGTCGCTGCAGCAGCCACAGTGGCACTGTCAGTGCCCAAGCTCAGCTAGCGTCGGTGCTCAGTACAGCCAGACCAAATCGGCATGGGCCGAGATCGGCATCAAGGTGCTCAAGGCATTGCACGTTGACTTCACCCCAATTGCTACAACTCACCGCCGTACTACCCCACTGTGTACTACACGCGCATGAGTGAGTACCCGCACAGCCCGCACATTGTCACCAATCCGAGCTCGGGATCCACGAAGGGCCACATCCTACAGAAACCGATGCAGCCATGGGGGGGGGCTTTCGCAGTCAGCGCGCATAATGTCCAGCGTACCTGTCGGGTACTCTCACGCGACAAAACCACATCGCGCGTGAAAACGTGTTTGTAGCGGTCATGTTGAAGTGTCAAGATCGTGTCTCCATTTTGGGCAATTTTCTAGTCCCGACTTCATTTTAAGTACGACCTTTTTTGCCAGCCGAGATGGACTACTTTTTGGGTCCCAGAGAATTTGAGATCAGCCATCTTGCCGCTGCGAGCGAGTAGAGGAGACCCAAATTTGCTTGGTGGGCGTCGTTAAACTCACCATACGGCGATTTGCGAGTCTGCTGATCGCCAATGACAGCAGCTGTTCTGCGCGGAGACTATCTCCAGATGATATTTGGTGCTTTGGGCAGATCTGCGGTGGTAGTTCTGCGTTTTTGTGCTCTTCACCACTGCGTTTCGGCGACACAAGGTGCAGCACATGTTTAGGCTGATTTGCAAAATTGGGCTGGCTGCAAATTCGACCGCCAGCTCCGCCGTATAATCCAGAGATTTCTAGCAATACCAGTGGCCACGTTTTCCGCTGTTCAAATGCGCTAGCGCGTCTGGCTTCTTAAATGTTCATACTGCGAGCAAGGTGAAATATCGAGTATGACTTTGCTCGATGTTGGCTCGCTGAAGGCGATCGTCAGGGTGCGATCCGATGCGCATACGCTCGTGAAACGCGGCAAAAAGCTGCCTGAGAAGGTTTCCAAAACTTTTTTCGGGGGTCAAGACCAATTGGTACGGATACGAATTATGTGATTTAATTGTTTTTTTACTTCTAATTTGCTGAATGTGGATGTTAATTGCCCGTCTTTAGGAAAATACTTCGAAGTAACAAGGATTTTGTCGGAAACTCCGGAAAGCGCGATTTCCTTATATTTTACGTGTACTGAGGATTTAAGCTGTCTTAGCAACAAAGCTGTAAAAGGTTGGCCGAGTAAGTAGCGAGCGTCCGGTTTGCAGGTGTTGCCCGTGATCGCAGCGGTCGCAGCAGCCGCCATGCAAACTCCGATCCGCTTCGCATGTTGCTCTCGATGGCGTGCGTCGAGCTCTTTGTGGATGCACAACTTTTGAATGGCAAGCTACATGTACCCATTACGGGTGGCCACCAGTCTTACAATTGAAGTTACAAGGGGGTGCTCTCTGGTCTCGCGTAGCTTGTCCGTTTTGCCCTGAACCTCAACGCATCATTCCTCAACTTGAGCTCGCCGACGCTGATGCCTGTCGATGCTGTGAAGGCGTCAAAATGAGCTAACTCCATTTGCTCCTAAGTGAAATGGCGAAACTGTGAGCCGAACTTCAACTGCCTAGATGCCTTCGACGTGCAGCACCCTCGAATCTGGACTGAGTCGCCTTCTTTAGTATCGTCGCGTCCACTTGCAAGACATCACTTGGTGCCGTCATCATGACGCTGTAACAAACGACACTCTAGTTTCTCTTTAAATTATGTCGCCGCCAGTGCTACGTCTGGATCCGAGGACAGCGCAAGTGCTGACACTTCAACTTCTAGTTCGACTGACACCCTGTCCGCTTCAGGATCCGATGCTGCTTCGACGTCTGGCTCTGGTGATAGCCCCATGGCCTCATCAACCGGTTCGTCGGCTACCCAGAATACTGGAGGAGGCGACTTTCTTGCGCCCTTCTCGACTGAAGAACCGTCGACAACTCTCTTCCCTCGCAGTGCACTTGGTGAGATGGCTCCGATCATTAACGTTGCGGAAGGTCTGCTGGGCAAGCCACTTCCAACGAACAAATGGTGGGGTAACATCATCCACACTACCGCTGAAGAGATGAATACGAAAGCCAACCCTGGCTGGTCCAACCCGTACGCCGTCAAGCTGCCGAAGGAAGCTCCGTACGGCATCCAAGCTTGTTACTCGTACAACTACCGGCAGTTGTCCGCTATCACCGATGGCGTCGCGGAGCTTTATCTGCACGACTTTGTCAACGACCTCACGCTGTCGGCCACGGAATTTGCCGGTGAAGCCAAGCCCACGTATGAGATTTACGCCTTCAGCGACTTTGGCATCAACGTTCGAGCCTGTCTCGAGAACAAGGAGCAGTGCTTGGACTCTGCTCTTGTGCACGGCATGGCCTTCATCACAGCCACGTACGACCGTCTGACCGCTCGGATCGAGTCGGAATACACCATGGAGATCGTGGACAAGTCGGTGCCAGGCAAGTACATCCTTCAGCTTGGTGGGAACCAGACGTGGGTCGTGTACACTGGTAACAACGGCAGCTTTGCGCTCGACGAGTCGGGCAAAGCTCTCGTTTCCAGTGGGTTGTTCAGTGGCACCGTGCGTGTTGCCATTCTACCATCGAAAAAGGCCACTACCGTCTACGATAAGTACCGAGCGTGTCACGTCCGTGGTGGCCACGTGTCTGTGGAGTCTCGTACTCAATACCCGGTAAACTGGGAAACGGTGGGGAAGAGCTGTAAGACCAACGGGATGCTTCACTTCGCACTGCCTCACCACCTCCCAGCGTTGAAAGGAGCCATCACTGCTAAAAGCCCCAAAGCGATTGTCCTTAATTCGGCCACTCGAGGCAAAATGGTCGCCCAAGTAGCCACGACTGGAAAGTGGGTCCTTTCGGAGCCTGAAGATGAGTTGGAGGTGGACTTCTACCCAACCAGTAAACCGTCTGCCGAGGTTGTAGCAAAAGTGGGTCTTCTCCAGACTCTGCAGGCCGATATCGCTGACCACTGGGCGCTCAACAAGACGAGTTGGTACTTTAACGGCAAGCAGTACCAGAAGTACGCGTCGGTGTGTCTCATGGCTGCAGACTCGGCCATCGTAGGCAAGGACAAGAAGCTGCTCAGCGCATGCCTGACGAAGCTCGAGAAGCTCCTTGTGCCGTTCCTGGACAACACGCTGGACCCTCCTCTCCACTACGAGACGTCGTACGGCGGTCTCGTCAGCAGTCAGAGCTTCACGGTCCAAGACGTGAACGCAGACTTCGGGAACAGTGTCTACAACGACCACCACTATCATTACGGCTTCTGGGTCACCGCGTCTGCCATGCTCAAGAGTCTACACCCCAAGTGGGAGCGCATCAAAGAGCTGGACAGGATGATCTGGATGACGCTACGCGACGTGGCCAACCCCAGCACAGACGACCCTTTCTTCCCTCGGTTCCGCCACTTCTCCTTCTACCTCGGCCACTCGTACTCGCACGGTGTCACGCCCATGCTCGACGGTAAAGACGAAGAGAGTACGTCTGAAGATGTGAATTTCTACTACGGTATGAAGCTCTGGCAACAAGGCCGTCGAGGATCTAGGCAGTCTCATGCTACGTCTCAACGCCCGCGCTATCCGCACCTACTTCCTCATGACGTCGGACAACACCATCCACCCTACTGAGTTCGTACCCAACCACGTGACGGGCATCTTCTTCGACAACAAGGCGGCGTATGCGACCTGGTTCAGTGGCGAGAAGTACGCCATCCACGGCATCCAGATGATCCCAGTGTCGCCGATCAACGCTATGGTGCGCACGACAAAGTTCGTCCAGCAGGAATGGGACGATATCCTCTCCAAGCAGCCAATCGTCACGGAATCCAACACCACCAACGCGTGGTTATCGCTGCTTCTCGTCAACCAGGCTGCTGTGGATCAGGAGGACGCGCTGACCAAGCTACAGGAAGCCACAATGGACGATGGTCTCACCCGCTCTTGGGCTCTATACAACGCAGCTTCCCGTCCTCACAACGCCAAGCAGGTGGATGTAGCTTAGAAAAACGTACAAACTACGTAGATGTTGCACTTGTGTCGCTCGAATGAACTAGTTTTGCGTCGGTTTTGAGGCTTTCATGGCTCCACATGATCATTTGCCGAGGATTTCTCTGTTCGAAGCGTCAAGTCATTACGATCTCCATCTAGCAAGCGTACTAGACGTTGGGCTTGGACCGAGATGTTACCCAGGAAAAAGTGAAGAAGACGTATCGAAAGCTGCCACTGCAGTTCCACCTGGACAAGGTTTCGGATCCACCAGCAACAGTAAAGATTCTTGTTTGCTTTCTCAGCTTTGTCTCTTTGTTTGTACATTGATACTAGTAGTACGACGTGCCGGAGCTCAACAAATCTAGTCCGACTTTCTTGGCGGTCACACTGTCATGTGGAAGGCCGTACCGCTCGCAAACTTCCTTCATGTGAGTTATCTGAAGCTGAAAAATATATTATGCATAGTATGTTCAAGCGGCTAGTAACTCACTATCCGAGTGGAACCGAAAAAGCTGTAGACGAATGTATTCGACACTGTAACACATTTGAGGTAGTTGGCATTCACACGCCGCGTCTCCTTCTGAAGATGTTCACGCTGCTGCTATGACGTCGTTGGTGAACCCTGCTCAAGAACAATATTCAAAGGACCTCACGCTTTTTAAAAACCTCCTTGGTGACCTCACAACGGCGGCTACGACTTCACGCTGACTGTCAGCATTCATTTGGCATCGTTCACTATTGTATCATGCACTAGTATAACTTGTAGTAGTGAGCGCAGACGCGTACGGTGGCATTGCACTGTTGCACACATTGATGCTGACAAAGAAGAATTATTTGGATGTGATAGATAATATCTATTATCCATTTTTGGATTGTAGCGTAATAGTTGGTGTGGTACGCAAACCTTTGCAAAATTGAAGCTGCCTAGCCAATCATAGCACACGACGTTTCGCTACATGAGCAAGTTCGGCTGCTTGGGGCATCTGTACCGCTCTTTTCTTAGGACTGTATCTGCTTAAACAGCATTACGATTGCGCGGGTAGAAGTACTCACGCAGTATTGAAGGCATGGAGTGTAAGCCCCACACACCACAAAGGCCATCCGATTGCTTCGACCCACGACGGTTCATGGTCAATTGGACCGCTCAACAGCATCGAAAAGAGGCATTCACGGTCCTGCAGCTCCGTCTCCTCTGCCATCGACATTCATGCGGAGAGTGGACTCTCCCGTTTCGGTCGCTGCGTTTTGCTGTCGCACCACTCGAATGGGGCAGCTCATTCTGCAATTGGCCACGAATTGCTGGAGAACTCACCAACCTATCATCGCTCCTCACGCAAACACGACTCGTCGACCGACGTTGATTATGTTGAGCCTCTTTCAGCCGGTGTAACACACCCGGCCCCACGCATCAGAGACCAGGCATGTCGCCGCCGCCGACATTAGCTCACCATACCGAGTAGCTGCTGGTACGGTGAATATGCTCGGTCAGAGTTCATACCCGACAGGGCTTTCATCGTGAAAGCTTATACACAGCTCTACTGGGTCGGCTCTGCTCGGGGTATGGTGTCCCATCAAGCCTGCCGATGAGATCATGTGGGGTCAACTTGACGGCTGCCACATCGCCCTACCGCACCAATCGCGCCAACAGGAGTCATGCACGACCAAGGTCACTCCCTACACTGCAGTGACGGCCGCCACCATCAACAGTAGAATCAGGCAGCTAAAAAATACTCATTAATGCTTGTATCATATCTGGATAAAGGCCTGGTGGCAATCGACTTGTAGCTCAGTATCTCCACTACGGCAACACTTACGACATCCCATTACATGCCGGCGCTCGACAGACCCACTACCCGCCAGAGTTTGTCACCACCCACTTCCCACCAGAGCTCAGCAGATCCGAGAAGATCAGCGGTAACACAGCGGGATTGCACCCGCGAGGAGAACTTCGTCAATGCAGTGATGCATCGAGTGCCGAGTCCATCCGTCCGTGAAAGCTGTCCCACCCCCTCACTGTGGCATTGCCACGCGTCTCTATATCGGTACGGACATACGAGAGGTCCCACCACCGGTCAATGTCCTTCAACAACACGCTCTACTGCAAGCTTGCTCAAAAGCCGCGCAGCGTAGGATCCAGAGGTCAGACACGATAAGTGCGCGTGGCACTTTGCCACTGCGCCGCAGCTGCTCGTGGCTTTTGCTTGAGCGGCAGCAGTCTTGGCGTCGCTGCAACAGCCACAGTGCCCAAGCTCAGCTAGCGTCGGTGCTAAGTACAGTCATCACAATCCGAATGGTATTGAAAGAGCTGCATACGAATGCATTCGACACTATTTTCCTTTGGTACTTCATCATATTGTTTGGGGATGCACAATCAAGCTGAGATTTTATTTATCGGCTCGGTCTCTCGAGCGCTTGCGCTCGTGCTGCTCCAAGTGGAAGACCGAGCGAATTTGGCTTTTGGGATGATTGACCCATGCGTTTTGCGAGCTGAAGCGTTGCCGCTGGTGCTTCCTCTATGAATGCTTGATACTCGTCCGACGGCCATCGTCCATGCACACGAATTGAGTCCATATCAACTCCGGCGGCATGAAGCGCCGATGCGCCTCCGGTTCTGAGTGAGTGTATTGAAAAGCGTTCCGGATCCTCGCCAGTTTGCTTTGCTGCTGCTCGTAGAACCTTTGTCATTGTTTCTGCAGATAGCATCCATCGGGAGCTCAACGTGCCTGTCCGCTCTTTAACATGGTCCGGGTCGTCGACTGTCCTGACTGATCGGTTTTGCTTCCTCTCAGTGTGATCTGTACCGATATCGCTCTGGTAAACTTGCTTGAGATCGCGCCATGTTCGTCTCATTAGATAACGTCACCGACTTGTAGACTATATACGCGTCGCTTGCCTCTTGAACATAGATACTCTGCTCCTCTTAAACAAAAGAAGAAGCCTAGCACCGCCGCCCCACAAAGCACGCGATGCGGGCGATGAACATGTCGGATGCTGTGGTGATCTGGCGGAGCATCTCGATGGTAACTGCAGCGCGCTGGCGACGGGGGGGGGAGCTGAGTCGGCGCATATTCTGGAGGACCAGCTCGTGTTGCGGCGACAAGGCTGGTCGGTAGCCGGCGTGAAGTTGACGACACCATCGGACGTGGCTGAGCTTAGCCCGTACGGTATCAACTCGGTGATGCGCTGTGACCTTCCCAGCATTCAACTGCGAGCATAATAAGCTGTATGGATTGTTGTTCGGGGTCATCTGGTGACAGCCACTGGTTGCAACCTCGCCGGGCGCAGAACCGGCACCATTGTCTCTAAGTATTGGGGTATCGTTGGCGCGATGTATCTGCGAGCGACCGCCACTGTAGGAACGCAACTTTGGCTCGTAGATCTTGCGAAGTTCGGTTGGAATATCCTGTGGGCACCATAGACGCATACAATTAGTCCAGAATCTCAATTTTACTCGAGTCCACACTCTTGATCCTAAGTCCACCAGGTAGTTCGATGCTCCTTGGAAGTGCTTTGTGGTCCCGTGTAGTTTGAACACCAATTCGGAGCTCTCACTAGCTCTTTCCGACCGCGCTGCTCGCGTTGTGCTCTCCGATCCAGAATGTATTATCTATCCAGCATCGTACATGTACTGGCTGACTCCAGGATCGCTGGATACCTTGTCATTGCGGCCCCCACACGAGGACTGTCAGCACTGCACTTAAAGCTTCCCGGACGTTGATGCTGAACCTGGACGAGTCACCTGGTGTAGATTGCTGTATGGCTGTTTGTTCATCTTCGTCGAACTTCACTCGAATGTATTCGCGAGTCGCTGGATAAATTACAGATAGACCCTCGTTGGTTGCATTCATAAATCAATGAACGTCGGGGGATAGAGTCTCTGCCATGATACTTGTGGGGACGCTATTGGCTGCACCGTTCTGAAGCAGGGACTCAATCCATTGCAGATCGCCTCGGACGCCCGGAGAAAGTTTAATGTTCTGGAAGCGAGAAGATCGCCGCCACTGTTGGTGTAGGCGCTGAAATAAGCTCGAGTTGATCGACAGCGGAGACTCATGTAGCGTAGCGACCCAAGCAATTGCTTTAGTTGGCGCCGAGACACAGTCTCCTGTGCGACGGCCTCTGCGATTCGCATGAGCGCTTTATGTGTCTTGTCTGGTGGTACTGATACCGTTCGATACTGTGTATCAAATGATAAACCAAGCGCGACGAGATGTGTCGACCACGAACAAAACTTTTCTCGTTGATCGAGTTCGGTCCGAGTATGGCGATCATGCTTGTTCGAAGGGCAATTTCTGCCAGCTCAAGCCTGTTGCCCTGATCAACTTCTAGTAAAATATGATCGTCTACCCACACAAACGAGAAAAACGGCTCTTCATCACGTTCAGTTGGGTCTAGAGATCTTGGCCTCTCGCGTGATACTAAGAACGAAATCGCACCACCGAAAGCTTCATAATGCTCTGGCAATCCGGTCCAGCCAAAGGCAGAGCCATATCAATTATGGCCAACCCGCGACTGGACCCAGCAAAATGAGCGGCCATGCGTGGAGCGACCGGGATAAGGCGAAACGCACTCTTTACTTCGCCTTTTTAATATCATGATTCGTAGGCGAGGGAATTGGAGAGCGAGATTTCGATTCTTTTTGCGATGCGGCGCACAGACTCGTAGTCCAGGTCGGGAGTTCGGCGGGTGTAAACCTGGCGTTCGTCGATGAGTCGCCCGGGTGTGACAAGTCATTAATCAAACGTGCTTCTTCGGATGGATCGATGTCTTTCTTGGAAACACAGCCGAAGCGCGCTGCTGACCAGCCGGCAGGTATGATAATTGAAAAACGCTTCCGCAAATACTTGTAGAGCGGTTAGTGCATAGGATATATTGTCCTGGGATTGAGCCTTCTGGGCCTTCGGCATGGCGAACGACGCTGAAAAATTGCTCAGGTTCACTGAACTGTCCGAGTACCACGCTCTCCGGCTGCGAAATCAAACCGCCTGAATTGCTTGATTGGGAGTCCTCGGGCACCAAACTGTATATTGTACGCTCGGGTGATTATAGCGGGATGCGGCTGGAGCTTCGTGGATCAGAACGAGAATTTTTATCAACAACAACCGAAGGGTCCTTACTTGCGTAGTCTGGGGCAGCGATCAGTCCGCTGATAAGCTGTTGAGTACGCGTTGGCGCGAGTGCATTCTTTGGCCGTCGGTCGCTCTGGTCCCACGTGTCGATGACGTCAGAGGCAGATTGGATTCGTCGCCGCTGGGACTCGCGTGAGTCGTCAATCGGCGCCGAACGTTTTGAGGCCCCTCTGTGGCTCAGAATCAGATAAAATCTTATTAACTCGAGTTCATTTGCGATAGCAGCTAGGATCTTGGGGTGATTGTCTTGGGTATCATTTTCGGTCACACGGGACTGTATCTGAGCCCGTTGGCCATTCGGTGTGGCTTGTGTTGGGGTAGTCTCGCCTCCGATTGACTGAAGAAGTGCCTCCAGGTCACCTTCATCGACAGGCGTTTCGACTTGATCATTTCCAAACCGAGGATCGTCATCAAATCGCTCACCGATTTTGTTGCGTACACTGGCCGTAATGCGACAATTTGCGTCCACAAAGTAAGCGTAGTCCACAGCGTGGCGCACGCTTACCGTGCTTTCGGCTCCGCTGAGGCCATTGACCCATTGGAGAGTGTCTGTTGGCTTGGGCTGCCTGCTAGCGGACACGTATCCAGCCACTAAGCGTGGGGTCGAGCGCGACCCGCGTGGATTTGTTTTAAGCACTCGATCTAAGATCCGATTTTACTGCTCATTCACCTCATCCATGGTCATATCCTCAGCTGGTTGTTGGTTTTTACCGGTGAGAAAGCACAGGACGGGTGCAACTTCGACCAGATCGTCGACACTTGATCGGAATTCTCCGTTAAGCGTACGAATGGTGACGTTGCTCCCGTTGTACTCGATTACTTGGCCAGTCACACGCTGACCGGAAGAAATGCCAACCACGGCCTTGCGCAGCCATTCACTAGGGACCCCTGCTTCAAACTCGCCAGCTCGGACTTGGCGGTGCCGAAGAGTTGTGGCGGAAACTTGCACAACCGAATACGGGGTGACAGTCGTCGAACAGTCGCTTCGCCCCCGGAGACGGTAACGACAGTAGGTGCATCGGCTACTCCATCCTCGTGGACGTCTTCAGGTAATAAGAGAACGTGATTGATCGGTGCGGCCATTACCATAGTCGACAGGAAAGCTATGGGGTTGCTGGAAAGGGTGTCTTCGGCGAGGTAAATCGGAAAATGACGTCTTCTACAGCTAGAACTACAGTTGAATGTGACAGAGGCTTGGCTTCTAGTACATTTTCGTTCGTGGCAGAGGAGGTCTCCGATAGCAGTTGTTCCAGGAGGTTCTATCCTTATGAAGACCCATTCCTCGTACCCCGAAAGCCTGCTCTTCAACTGTCATCAACAGATACCCAAACACATTTGAGGTAGTTGACATTCACACACCGCGTCTCCGTCTGAAGATGTTCACGCTGCTACTATGACTTCATTGGTCACACACCAGTGAATCCATGCTCAAGAGCAATATTCAATGGACCTCACGCTTTTGAAAAAACCTCAGTGGTGAGCTCACAGCGGCGGCTACGACTTCGCGCAAACTGTCAGCATTCATTAAATGAATGACGCCAAATTTTGTCGTCGTTTATTATTGTATCATGCTGTTATAACCAGGGGCTAATGGTAACCAAATATCATATAATTGTTTTAAAGTAGCAGTACTAATGTTGAAATTAAATATTAATAGTAACTCTTTTTTTCAAAAGTTTACAAAATATTTTAATTTTAATTCGAAGATCTGAAGAATAATACATACTACACAATTTCTTATGATATTCCCACTTAAGTACGTTTTTTGATACCTTACCCTGAGGCTCACAAAAGTATTCTTTCGGCCAGATTCTAGAGCAGCAGTAGGCATTCAGAATGACGAGTATTTGTCCTAGTATTTCGCTGTGACATAGGCAAAGGCAATCGGATGGAAAACTGCAAACGCTTGCAGTTGTTTAATGTCGATAGAGCGAAATCAAAGTATCTGTCTTGCTCTCTACCGATAGCCTCGTCCACGTCGTGCGTCAAATTAACCTGCAGCCTGTAACGCTAGATTAAAGCGCTGAGCAGTGCCAACACACGACGCCAACCTTGCCGTCACTCTCACAATTGCCCGGGCTTCACGGTTGAATAGTAATACTTCAGCAAGTCGAACATTAGCGACACCTGGTTAGTGGATTAAAGCAGATTACGCAATCTTTGAAAATATAAAATCGTGTTAAATTTAAAATTAATATTATCATTTTGTCTCAGAAAAAAATAGGTGATATTTTCACAATATTAACTTCACCGATTTTGGAATTACAATTAACCCGTGGTCATAGCTTGTATAAGTGAGCACAAATGATATTGCACTGTTGCACACATTGATGCTGACAAAGACCAATTATTTGGATGTGATAGATATTATCGATTATCCATTTTTGGATTGTAACGTAATAGGTGGTGTGGTGCGCAAACCTTTGCAAACTTGAAGCTGCCTACAATACACGACGTTTTGCTACATGAACACGTTCGGCTGTTTGGGGCATCTGTACCGCTCTTTTCTTAAGACTGTATCTGCTTGAGCAACATTGCGATTGCGCGGGTAGAAGTACTCACCCAGTATTGAAGGGATGGGGTGTGAGCCCCACACACCACAAAGGCCATCCGATTACTTCGACCCACGACGGTTCATGGTCAATTGGACCGCTCAACAGCATCGAAAAGAGGCATTCACGGTCCTGCAGCTCCGTCTCCTCTGCCATCGACATTCATGCGGAGAGTGGACTCTCCCGTTTCGGTCGCTGCGTTTTGCTGTCGCACCACTCGAATGGGGCAGCTCATTCTGCAATAGGCCACGAATTGCTGGAGAACTCACCAACCTATCATCGTTCCTCACGCAAACACGACTCGTCGACCGACGTTGATTATGTTGAGCCTCTTTCAGCCGGTGTAACACACCCGGCCCCACGCATCAGAGACCAGGCATGTCGCCGCCGCCGACATTAGCTCACCATACCGAGTAGCAGCCGGTACGGCGAATATGCTCGGTCAGAGTTCGTACCCCGACAGGGCTTTCATCGTGAAAGCTTATACACAGCTCTACTGGGTCGGCTCTGCTCGGGGTATGGTGTCCCATCAAGCCTGCCGATGAGATTATGTGGGGTCACCTTGACGGCTACTACATTGCCTTACCGTCCTAATCGCGCCAATAGGAGTCATGCACGACCTAGACCACTCACTACACTGTAGTGATGCCCACCGCCATCAACTGTAGCACCAGTGCAGCTAAAAAAAATACTCATTAATGCTAGTATCATATATGGCTAGAGGTCTGGTGGCAATCGACTTGTAGCTCAGTATCTCCACTACGGCAACGCTTACGACATCCCATTACACGCCAGCGCTCGGCATACCCACTGCCCGCCAGAGCTCGACACCACTCACTGCCCGACAGCTTAGCAGGTCCAAGAAGCCCAGCGGCAACACAGCGGGACTGTACACGCGAGGAGAACTTCGTCAATGCAGTGATGCATCGAGTGCCGAGTCCATCCGTCCGTGAAAGCTGTCCCACCCCCTCACTGTGGCATTGCCACGCGTCTCTATATCGGTACGGACATACGAGAGGTCCCACCACCGGTCAATGTCCTTCGACAACACGCTCTACTACGAGCTTGCTCAAAATCCCGCGCAGCACAGGACCCAGTGGCCAGACACGATAAGTGCGTGTGGCACTTGGCCACTGCGCCGCAGTAGCTCGTGGCTTTGGCGTGAGCGTCAGCCACCTCGGCGTCGCTGCAGCAGCAGCCACAGTCAAATCAAATCGGCGTGGGCCGAGAGCAACACCAAGGTGTTCAATGCATTGCAGGTTGACGTCACCCCGAAAGTCTACACTCCGTCGCCGTACTACCCCACTACGTAATACAAGTGCATGAGCGAGTACCCGCAGATCCCGCACATTGTCACCACTCCGAGCTCGGGATCCGCGAAGGGCCACATCCTGCACAAACCAATGCAACCAGAGGGGGCTTTCGCAGTGCATGTTGCACGTCAGCGCGCATAACGACCAGCGTACCTGTCGGGTACCTTCATGAGAAAAACCAACTTCGCGCGTGAAAACGTGTTTGTAGCGGTCATGTTGAAGTGTCAAGATCGTGTCTCCGTTTTGGGCAATATTTCTGGTCTCAACTTCATTTTGGGTACGACCCTTTTTTCCAACCGAGATGGACTACTTGAGCGACACGACGAGCTCCGCCCTCTCGATCTATAGTTCCAGAAGTGGAGCCACAATACTCATTCAACTTCTCGCCCGTCGTTACAGCAGAAACCACACAACGAGATCCACCTTCGCTTGACGACGTTGCTTCAAAAGGAACCACACGCCACGCTCCACCTTTGCTAGACGTCGCTCCAGAGACAGCAACACGGCTCGTTCCGTCTTCTTGCTCCGTCGTTCCATTACGACACGTCCCACCGCCTTGATTCGTCGCTCCTGAAGGAGCTATAACGATCTCCTCTTTCCGAACAGCTCGAAGAGGACTCAACATTCTTCCTTGCGCTGTCATAGTCTGAAGATACGTCGTCCCATTGATTCCACTATACGAGTCGTTGTACGCTGACCTCCATATCCGCTTGTGTACTCAATAATGGGCGCATACTTCCTCACGTTCTGTATCCTGGAACGCCTTTTTCTCTAAAGCGATATTCTACACCGCCTGGAACGTCGCAGCTCGTTTTGTAACCCCCGTAACCTGCGCCGGTGTCACTTGGAACACTAACATCCGAGTGGGCTCCGTTGACACAATAACCCGCGCTGGCATCCCTTGGAACGCGATAGTGCGTTTCATAGCCCCGATAGTCCACGCTGATGCTGCTTGGAGCGCCCATGTGCGCTACGTAAGCCCGCGTTGACGTCGCTTGATACGCTGATACTCTAGTGCGTTCCGTCAGCCCAATAGCCCACACCGACGTCCCTTGGAATGCCAGAGTGCATTCCGTAATCCCAGCAATCCTTTTGAATCATAGTATTCGTTGCCCCCATGCTTTCTTCTATCTATATCAGCGTAGTATCCACTGTTTATCTCCATTCCAGTGCTCCTACGCCTCACCTCTTTATTCGTTCCTCTATTAATCAAGGATACGTTCCCAGTCAATGCGTTCCCCGGAACGTCAACGTGACTCGACACAGTTCCAAAGCGATTTTCCAAGCTCACAGCTCTCACAATGCCTTCATGACCACAGCACTCTAAGCGATAGCGCACGCCCAGCTAGTCGCACAAATTCAAGCAAATCTAGCCAAGCTCCAGTCACACCGCGTGATCGGAGCCGTTCTGGAAAGCTTCTACTGCGCTGTTCACGGATTTTGTTGTTCTCAGCAATACCTGCCCAGGTATCCAATGTATCGCGCTTCTGGATCCAATGACACTCTGCATCGACGTCTACCCAAACATTCACCAATCCTTCCTCCCCCCCCTGCACTTAGAACACCCTGCTTATACACGAAACTGTCAAGGGACAAAGATGCTAGGGTATCGTCCCTGAACATTTATTATCTTGGAACGCCGTCAGTAACACGTTCCACACCGGACCGCATTAGCCCCACGACCGATAGAAAGAAGGGAAGAAGGAAGTCGAAGATTTCTGTAGTGAGACCGACGACCGAGGCCTCGCGCGTGGTGGAGGTTGTAAAATGTAGAAGAAGCTTGTCAAAAGTAGTTACCCTTACCCCGCAACCCCGAAAGTGAATCCGATCAAGTAAGTCGGAGCGCGTCGAAGTCCGACGCGTTCCTAAGCATGACACCCCTTCCTGTTGTACTGAGGGCTATTGTGGAGGTGACACCCGTCTTCTTTGTAGTGAAGACTCACCTTCTTCACCGCTAATGTGGCTCCTTACTTCGGCTGTCATCCGTCCTTGCACTTGGTATCATCCCAGGCACGTACCTCGCACGATTCCCACGACGAGGATGCGCTCCCTTGAGACATGCCAGTTTGGCGGATGAGTAAATAGTGTGATAATTTTCCCCGATCGGATTACACACAACGTTGGATCCGTACGGACAATGAGCTGTATTAATACTCGACGTATTCCAATCAGAGCTAAATGCTCGTCCAGCCCACTTGCCAGTTCATCAAAGAACAAGATGCTCAGAAGCTGTCTTGTATCTTGTCAATACCACCTTGGCGTCAGGGTTGACGTATAATCGAACGAAGAGCCTGGATTAATGATGCCGCCCATCGAGTTTGGTGATAATGGGAGCCTTTTGAAATGGCGTGAAAACTAAGCTTTAGTGACTGTTATCGGTGCCTTGAGCTCGACCTTGACTGGCACCTGCAATGAGAGCTGCCGTTAAGGATCGTCACGAGGTCGCCGACACGCAGAGGACTGTAGTGGAAAGACATTGTTAAACGAGTACGGGTATTGTTGATTGTGAAAGCTGAGCAAGCGGTAGACTTCGGACACTTCGTCGGCGATTTTGGTTGCAGCCCCTTTTCATTTTGCCCGCGATAGCTAGACCTCGTAGATGTTGTGGCAGGGATACCGATTATTGCCTGTTTTGCTCAAAATTTAAAATAAAGTATTAGTTTTGGCATCTAGATAGATTATTGAACTTCTCACACTGGAAATAGGTTGTTGGATGATTCGACAATAAATTATTGCTGGAGTAGCAGAAGCGAGAATATATAATTGGTATCCAATGCAGAAAAAGCTTTCCTAACGGTATAAATAATTGGTAAAACATAATCGCAATAATCAACTTGATGGATGAGGGGGTAACGTGGTCGAGTCAAGGAAGAATCAATTCGGCATGGCGCGGGTCTGACGATTCTTATTACCACCCCCCGTACTCATGGTTTTTAAGCTTTGCTCCTGTTTTGTAAGCAACTGAGTGTCCGCCTATAGCTTTGACAGAAATCGGCTTCCATATCGCTCCGGTGTCACGGAGCTCTATTTCTGAACAGTGAAAACTCAAGAGCTAACGTTACACGTGCTTTTCATGTGCTGTGGCTCCTGCTTGAGATCAAACTGTTTGACATACTATTACGATCATGCTATAATTAGCCGATGAGATGAAGAGTGACGCATTCTATCGCAATTTTGCCACACAAACAAGAAGATCTAGTTTTGGCTTTTTTAAGCGCACTTGAGCACAGATTAAGCGTGCGCTTTAGGTAGACTTGATTAAAATATACATCTTGTGAGCGCGATGGGCCCCACGTCCTTCAGCTTTAATCTGAATCTGAACCGTCATCTTTCGTCGGCGGCGCTCCGACTTGCTGCCACCCTGATCCGATCCTACATGCGATTTGCCCCGCGCAATTTGCGCTCTTCACGCTATCGCTGATTCGGCTGGGATTAATCGCGGCTGACGAGCTCGTTCTGGCTTGGGCCAAGACTCTTGGCACCTTGCCTGCAGGCTAAAAAGTTGCAGAGCAAGCATAACCGGTTGCCGGTGGGCTGGGATCATCTTCAACACTTCAAAGCGCGAACCTGCGCGTTCGGCTTCGTCATTCCCGGCTCTTCGCGCAGCGTCCAGCGCCGATCATCGTGTGCACGCAACATGTCGTTCGATCAACAAGGCCTTCTTATTCCATACTGCACCTTGCAGTCTGCAAGTCATGGCGCCAGTGCGCGTACAATGTGTAGGTCTCTCCTGGTCATTGTTATCAATACCTCTTAAGTCACCTACAAGTTGTTTGTGGGATTCCCAACAGCAACTTGTTGGAACAACCAACGTGCAATTGAGGCGCGCTACGTCCAGACTGTCGGGATCGACTATCGAGGAGTTGTTGGCGCTTGTGTCGCAAGAGAGTACCGCATCCAAGCCGAAAAGGTACATTTGCTGTACATGTACACTGTACATGTACACTGGACATGATACAAGCCTTGCACACCTTGCATTGCAAGGTGACGAGCGCCCAAGTAGGATCAGACTCTGGCGCAGCAGACACTTCAACTAATTCCAAGCGTAGAAAGCGGAGAATGTTATGTTTGCCACGGATACCAGCATCATTTGCTTGCGCCAGCAACTTCAGACGTGCGACTGAAGTTTGAAGCACACTGTTTACAGTGCCGTAGCTTTGAAGAGCTTTACGGAGCCACCTGTCCGAACGCTATGGTCGGTGGGAAACAGTCTGCGGATCGTAGAGCGCCGACATGCTGGGCATTACACCGTGTTTCACTATCACAGAGAAACTCACAGTGATAAACGCCGCCTATGTGCGCTGGCTGGCGATTTAACTTGTGCAAGAGCCTGCGCAGACAAACCATATTCGAATCTCCTAAATCGAGCCAGTAAGCGGAAAAGCCCAAAATTTCGCATGTGAAGTGCCCAATCCAAGCAGATGCTTTCCCGTCACCCAAAATAGTACTAAAAGATATCATTTTGGGCAAACGGACCGCGCCCGCTCGACATTGTGACAAGCATGAGGTCTCTACCGCGACAGGCACTGACTCAGTGACTGAACGAAGCAAAGCTTTTAAAAGTATATGTAGTTTTCTCATCTTCTTCCCCCACAGCGATCAGCACTTCTTTACGTCTGCGAAGGAGATCCGTGTTTGGGTAAACCCTTGCCCAACTGAGCGACCAGTTTCGCTTTGATTTGCTGATAAATGAAGTTGAAGACACTGCAACAAATACAAAATGAACGAAATGTACAGTACTGTGTACCGGTACATGTACATTTTACGGCACCGGAAGTTCCGTCCCGGCCCCACCGCATTTTTTCTGCCCGTGCTTCCAGCTGGTACGCTCCAAGAACGCCGGTGAAGATGAACCTTACATCTCAAATCCAGTCCTCGAGCGCGGTGCTCTTTTTTAAAATACATGTTAAGGGTACCGGTACATGCTTTTGTCGAGTGATGCTGATTATTGTAAATGCCGCAGTGTGAACACACTGTCTACATTTGGGCACTGTCTTTAAGACTTCTTTCAGCTCGGTGCTCGAGGCAGTCTTTTTAGATACGCGACCTTTCAAAACCGTTTTGAAGCCGTTTCAAATGCCGCTTATCTCTTGTCCACTCATTTACACGTAGAGCCGGGGCAACCTGGAATGGCCCGGTTGCGCACTTGATACTGTACAAAAGTACATGTACCGGTACCGGTACCTCGCAATCTAATGATTCGTATTGTAAAATACAATAAGTACTACCGTTTTTTTATATCTAGTACAGTCGTGCACCTCCAATTCGGCAGGGCGGACCATATCAGCAGTGCCAGGGCATAAATGCACAACGTAAGACAAAAAACAATCGCAAATCCAGTGCACTGATATCCTTTTTGTTAATTCAGTACAAAATTTACGAAAATCTTCTGCATAATCTTGGCGTCAGACGCGCGAATCGCGGACGCGCAACAGCACTTCCGGTCGCGATAAGCGTCCGGCAAGGCGGCAACTGTCGCGGACCGCTTAAAAATACTCTGGACGGTAGTGCGCTTTACTGCTTGGGGGGTCTTAAAGCGCTCCGTTGCCCAACGAGCAAGTTCGGAGCAGGATTTGACTTGTGGCTTCTCGCACAAAGACTGCTTCTGTGGGACATGTAGAGGAAGGGCGATGTCCCATTGTCTTGGCGGTAAAAATCTAAGTGTGTGTTTGTATAAAGACGTCCGATCCAAAATTTAAAATCAGATCGATATGGCGTGTCATCCCTCGGCGAGGAGGGGAAAACCGTTGAGGTTAATTGCTAGGGTGGTGATGGGCAAAGGTAATTGCGCATCCGATTTGCGTAATCATCAAATCTGGCAGGGTATCGACTGATACCGGTGCCGAATTGGAGGTGCACGACTGTACAGCACTTCAAAACCAATATTTTAGTAAAAACTAAGAATTGCTTGCACGAGCCTTTTCACGTGATCACAATTATATCATTTTAGTTTTATTTACGTAAGCTTAAAAATACGTGACTATCACCCAACAAATTAATAATTTTAATATTTTTTTAAATATTTAAAACATGTACTACTTTGTCAGATGTACTACGATTCAAGTCGAACGTAACGGCTGTTAACGTCGTTGAATCGCTTTTTTTTCCTACCCTACCCTTGTTGTCCACGTACTGTACATGTACCAGCCCAATCAATCACAGCTGGTACTGTACCTGTCCCGAGAGCCGCAGCTTCTTCGCCAGCCTTGGGGGGGTGTCCGCTTCGCTGCCGACGCCACCCAACGTCTCACTCTTCAATTTGCCTCGGTGGACGCTAAGCCAGCCTTCGCCCCCATCCGAATCGAAGAGCCCCAGTCCAGACCAAGACGACGTCCGCCATGGCCACGGAGGACAAGAAAAACAAGGCTACGGCCAGTCTTCTGCAGCCAGAGGCCTATGACAATGGCGAGGAGGTGCCGCAAGTCTACCGCTCGCTTAACTTCCGCAGCCTGCAGGACCCGTACTCGCACAACCGCGACACGATGGCCAGCCGCTACAGTACGCTGCGTGCCGACGACCTCGAGACGATGCTTAACGGCGGTCTTGAGCGCTTCTACAAGAAGTACGACCACTTGTCGCGTAAGGTCAACCTACAGCTCCCGACACCAGAAGTGCGCTTTGAGAACTTGTCGTTCTCGGTGCAGGTGCCGGCGGAGGTTGGCGCCCACGGTACTGTGGGAACGCACTTGGCCTCTATCTTCACGCCCTGGGAGAAGATTCCCATGACCACCAAGCACGCGCTACACCCGATGAGCGGCATCATCAAACCGGGTTCCATGACACTTATCCTGGCCAACCCTGGTGCCGGTAAGTCGACGTTCCTGAAGGCACTCGCCGGTAAGCTCCAGGACAACAAGCAGACGGAGATCGGCGGAGAGATCCTGTACTCCGGCCTGCGTGGCGACGAGATTGACCTGGTCAAGCTGGTCGGTCTCGTGGACCAGACGGACAACCACATCCCGACGCTGACTGTCCGTGAGACGTTTAAGTTCGCCGACATGTGCGTGAACGGCCGTCCCGAGGACCAACCGGAGGAGATGCGCGACATTGCCGCTCTCCGTACGGAGCTGTTCTTGCAGATCCTGGGTCTGGAGAACTGTGCCGACACGGTGGTCGGTGATGCTCTGCTTCGTGGTGTGAGTGGTGGTGAGCGTAAGCGTGTGACTGTCGGCGAAGTGCTGGTCGGTGGCCAGAGTCTGTTCCTGTGTGACGAGATCTCCACGGGTCTGGACAGTGCCGCCACCTTCGACATCATCAAGGCTCTTCGCACATGGTGCAAGACGCTCGGTGGCTCTGTCATCGTGGCGCTGCTGCAGCCGACGCCTGAGGTCGTGGAGCAGTTCGACGATATCTTGATGGTCAACGAAGGCCACATGGTGTACCACGGACCCCGTACCGAGATCCTGGACTACTTCCAGGGTCTGGGCTTCACGTGTCCGCCTCGTGTGGACCCTGCCGATTTCCTCATTGAGGTGACGTCGGGCCGTGGCCACGGCTACTCGAACGGCAACGTCCCGAACAAGGACTTGGCCGTGACGTCCGAGGACTTTAACAACCACTTTTGCCAGTCGAGCATCTACCGTAAAACCCACGAGGCCATCAGCAAGGGCTTCAACGAGCACCAGTTCGAGAGTCCGGAAGACTTCAAGAAGGCCAAGAGTGTGGCCAACTTGGCCCGTTCCAAGGAGAAATCCGAGTTCGGATTGGCCTTCTTGCCCAGCACCATGTTGCTACTGAACCGTCAGAAGCTCATCTGGCTGCGTGACCCCCCGCTACTGTGGGGTAAGGTCATTGAAGCTATCATCGTGGGTCTCGTGCTCGGTATGATCTACTACAACGTGAGCTCGACGTACTACCTCCGTATGATCTTCTTCAGTATCGCGCTGTTCCAGCGTCAAGCGTGGCAGCAGATCACCATCTCGTTCCAGCTTCGTAAGGTCTTCTACAAGCAGCGACCGCGTAACTTTTTCCGCACAACGTCGTATGCTATTGCCGAGAGTGTGGTGCAGATTCCAGTGAACCTGGTGGTCTCGTTCATCCTGGGCACGTTCTTCTACTTCATGAGTGGACTGACCCGGACGTTCGAGAAGTACATTATCTTCTTCATTGTGCTCGTGGCCTTCCAACACGCCATCAGCGCCTACATGACGATGCTGAGCTCTCTGTCGCCGAGTATCACGGTGGGTCAGGCGCTGGCTTCCATCTCGGTCAGCTTCTTCCTGCTGTTCTCTGGTAACATCATCCTGGCCGACCTCATCCCGGACTACTGGATCTGGATGTACTGGTTCTCTCCCGTGTCGTGGGCGCTGCGCTCCAACATGCTGTCGGAGTTCTCGAGCGACCGCTACACGCCTGTGGAGAGCGCCACTCTGCTCGACAGCTTCTCCATCTCGGAAGGCACCGAGTACATCTGGTTCGGTATCGTCGTCCTCATCGCGTACTACTTTTTGTTCACGACGCTCAACGGTATGGCGCTGCACTACATCCGGTACGAGAAGTACAAGGGTGTGAGTGTCAAGCCCTTGACGGACAAGGCCCAGGACGACGACAACGTGTACGTCGAGGTGGCCACGCCTCATGCGGCCGATGGAGCGAACAAAGGTGGCAACAGCGGCGGTCTGCCGTTCACGCCCTCGAACCTGTGCATCAAGGACTTGGAGTACTTTGTGACGTTGCCTTCGGGTGAGGAGAAGCAGCTTCTGCGCGGAATCACGGCCCACTTCGAGCCGGGTCGCATGGTTGCTCTTATGGGCGCGACGGGTGCCGGTAAGACGACGCTGATGGACGTGATTGCCGGTCGTAAGACGGGCGGACGCATTGTCGGCGACATTATTGTGAACGGCGAGGCCAAGGACCCCGCCAACTTCAGTCGTATCACGGCGTACTGCGAGCAGATGGACATCCACTCTGAAGCTGCGACGATCTTGGAGGCGCTGGTGTTCTCGGCCAATCTGCGTCTGCCCCCGAACTTCACGAAGGAGCAGCGTATGAACCTGGTGCACGAGACGCTGGACCTGTTGGAGCTTACCTCGATCTCTGGCGCTATGGTCGGTGGCCTGTCGGTGGAGCAGAAGAAGCGTGTGACCATCGGTGTCGAGGTGGTGGCCAACCCCAGTATCTTGTTCCTGGACGAGCCCACCAGTGGTCTGGACGCGCGTTCGGCTCTGATCGTCATGCGCGGTGTGCAGTCGATCGCCCGTACGGGTCGTACCGTGCTGTGTACCATCCACCAGCCTAGTATCTCGATCTTTGAGCTGTTCGACGGTCTGCTGCTGCTCCAGCGCGGTGGCTTCACTGCGTACTTTGGTGACCTTGGTGTGGACTCTGTCAAGATGCTCGAGTACTTCGCGTCGATCCCTGGCACGATGGAGATCCGTCCGCAGTACAACCCGGCCACGTACATGCTTGAAGTGATTGGCGCGGGTATCGGCCGTGACGTGAAGGACTACTCGATCGAGTACAAGAACAGCGAGCTGTACAAGTCGAACCGCGAGCGCACGCTCCTGTTGGCTGAAGTTTCCAGCGACTTTGTGTGCCACTCGACTCTGAACTACACGCCTATTGCCACGGGCTTCTTGAACCAGTTGAAGGAGCTCGCCGTTAAGCAGCAGCTCACGTACTGGCGCAACCCGCAGTACAACTTCATGCGCATGTTCCTCTTCCCTCTCTTCGGTGTCATCTTCGGTACGACCTTCTACCAGCTTGAGGCGGACAGCGTCAAGCGCATCAACTCGCACATCGGTCTCATCTACAACAGTATGGATTTCATCGGTGTCATCAACCTCATGACGGTGCTGGAAGTCACGTGTGCCGAGCGCGCCGTGTTCTACCGCGAACGGATGTCGAACTACTACGGTCCACTGCCCTACAGTCTGTCGCTGTGGTTCGCTGAGGTGCCGTACCTGATCATCGTGATCGTGCTGTTCGTGACGATCGAGTACTGGCTGGTGGGCTGGAGCGACAACGGAGGCGACTTCATCTTCTTCATGTTCATTTTCTACCTCTACACGTCGGCTTGTACCTACGTGGGTCAGTGGATGTCTGCTCTGATGCCCAACGAGAAGGTGGCGAATGTGGCTGTCGGCGCGCTGTCGTGTCTGTTCAACTTATTCTCGGGCTACCTGCTGCCGCGTCCGGCCATGAAGGCTGGCTACAAGTGGTTCACTTACCTGATGCCGTCGAGCTACTCGCTTGCGGCGCTGGTGGGCGCTCAGTTCGGTGAGGTGCAGGACGTTATCTCCGTCACGGAGGGCGGTGTCACGACGGACATGACGGTGGCGCAGTTCATTGAGGACACGTACGACTTCCGACCGAACCGCAAGTACAATTTCATGGCGGGACTGCTGGTCATCTGGGCTGTGCTGCAGGTGGCCATCTACCTCACGTTCAAGTACGTGAGCCACCTCAAGAGATAAGCGGCGACGTTGAAGCCAAACGTTGCTGCGCTGACGCAACGTAGGATTGATGAGTAGCTGCGAATGATAGCGGCTGTGTGCATGAACTTTGCTTTTGAAGTAGATTCCTGTTTGATTTTACAATCTTGTGTTGGCTGCGGACGTTAAAGTCTGTTAAATAACTTGGAGCTACGGAGTGGCATAGCACAAAATCGTCTAAGAAAAGATTGGTAAGTTACTACTAGCATTGAAATGAGCTTTTTACCGTCACCAAAGTCCGATATTCTAGCCAATTGCCGCCAGAAATCTCGATAAACCATCCGAGATCGACTCGTCTTGTATAAAGTCGACACTTGAGGTCCGTCACGCCACCGGCAGAGACGGCAGACGTATCCTGCAGCTCCAACTCTGTGCGTTGTACGTAGCATCGACCGTGGCCTGGAACAAGAACGTTTACCCACTCGCTACTGCCGTCGTCACCGAAGATGCGAGCTGAGGTCATCGGGGTCTCGAAGGTCAAATGCTGGGCTCCTCTTGGTAGCTGGCCTCGCTTGTTAAGCTCGTAAAAGAGCCGAGCGCCCGCCTTTATCGTCGCATCTCTGGCATTGACAGCACCTCGACTGAAGCCAAACAGCAGCAGCCGCTACTGTTCATGGTGTCGCCAAAGATGGAGGACATCAACTGGCCAATCGCCTTCCGCGACGTATACTCGTTCTCTTCCAGCCCACGATTTATGAACCAGAGCGAGACAGTTGCAAACCACTGCACTAAAGTCTGCATAGTCTCGGCCAGGTCGGGCGTGATCTTGGTGTCATTGAAACTTGCGATCATGGGTTCCAGTACAAACGTGCACCGTAGATTACAAGGCTCGACGTCTCTTGCGACTTCGTTCGTATTTCTGCCACTCTTGTTGCACGCGTTTTTCAGCGCAGTGGATCTGCTTTAGGGGCTCGAAATCTTCACACAAAGACTCGTAGGAGGCCGGATGCGTCATTGAAAAATGCACTCGAACTAGAATTTTAATGTCGACTCCAGGCTTGATCGACGCCAAGTGCTTGTCCAACGATGCGATCCGCTTGAGCGCCTTTAAAAACGCGGAACTGGCAAGTTCCCGTTGGTGGACGCCACAAAATTTACAATATCATTTTTGAGAGATTCAGGATATCTTGAAGGAAATAGAGCACAAAGTCGGCCGGGGGTGCACTTCAAACGCCTCTTGTCCCTCCGCTCCGAGATCCATGTCGCAATGTTCTGCTAGCAGGTATCTCCAGCCCGCTTGGTCCACATGAGCCACAGCTGCAGGTAAGGCCAAAGCTTCGCGTACTTTCAGGAAACAACTTTAAAAATCCTGGTTATAGGAATAAAGAGGCTCTGGCTCTTCCCAAAATGATTGGGTGAGGTTGGCAAATAGACTTCCAGTCGGCGACGTTGAAAGCCCCATATTTCATTATCAAGGGAGGGGGGGGGCACACGTAGCTGATCGGTGCTGCAGCACTTGGCACCAGGGCTTCAAAAAGGCTACAATTTGTTGCCCACGTTTTGATTGTTTAGTGTTCTTCTCCATTATTATTTAAACAGCTTGAATATTTTAAAACCATAATTTAAGCTGAGCATTAAATACAGAATCAATTATTGGCTTAAATTTAAAGACACGAATCTGAAACCTGGAATAGAAGTTCCAAGTCACTCCGCCAAAAGACCCAGCTCCTGCCCCTACCTACGCCTCCCTCTCAGTATACGTGCCGACCATCACAGCGTTGGGAACACCTAAGCTCGCGTTGGTGCTGTGAAGATCACAACGTCGGAGAAGACGAAGAAGCCCGCGGACCATAACGGGCTGCCTCCACTCTGCCCACAAGCCCTCAGCGCCATAGGCAGTCTACTAGGATTAAGCCCCGTCCAAGCTTGCCGTATACCTGCGATCGTGCTATGTCTCAGGCTCAAGCGTCTTCCAGGTGGGCTTACTACCTCATTGTAGTCATCAACGGTACGAACGTCTACAGAGCAGTGCTTAGCAACGGGTACCATTACTGACTGCTTATCAATTGCTGTATATGTTCTTTTTTACAGCAATTTGGCCATGCTAGCTAAGGACCTAGCGATACTAATGCTTTTGGAAGGATTCTCACCTCATGTAGCAAATCGATGAATTTATTACAAGCTACACACAAGGCTAAAATGCAAATAAGTGCTACGTTTGCTGAGCCTAACGATCGCAAAATGCTTGCAAAAGAAAGAAACTCTCACTGGTAAGAAATGCTTCTTGTCGCGAATATCTTTCGATGAATCGATGCGGGAAATGTTTCGTATGGAATGTGCTAGCTTATCGGCGCTTGCTCAAAATTGTGTGCCCACATTTTATCTCAGCGAGAGCAGCTCCAAGGGCAATCTGTTTCCTGTTTCTCTGTGCACAAGGCACTACATTAGATGTCACGGCCGATCGATTTGGTATTGGACCGGCAACTGTCTCCGCTATCGTGCAGGAAGTGACTCATATAGTATGCAAGGAGATTGAGTTATTAATAGCATTTTCCGGCTTTGGCACTGCGCATCTCAGTTTGCGAAGCAATGTGGCATCCCGCAAATAGATAGCTGCATTGATGTCTCACACATACCGGTGTCCCGCCCGACGGATGAAGGCGACTTGTTTAAAAACAGCAAGGGATAATACAAGCAGGGGATAATACAGCGTGGTGCTGCAAGCAGTGGTAGACTGGAGGGGACGTTTCCTCGACCTCGACTGTAAGTGGACCGGTAGGGTCGGAGACAGCCGCGTATTTCGGAATAGTGCATTGGGACAGTCCTTTCCGGCGGTCTCTGCTGCATCACATACGGTCGCTATACTCACCGGAGAAGAAAGTGTTTGCAGCGGTGCCGTATTACTTGCTTAGAGATTCTGGATATCAAAATACGAATTTTCTCGTGACGACTTTCGAGTTGTCGGAAACTACGAAATTGAGCTTAACAAGCGGCTTTGCCACGCTATCGAGTAGAATGCTCGTTTGGCCAGCTAAAGTGCAGATAGAGGATTCTGCTGCGTGAATTTCAGCTGAGTATTGGACTCGCTCCTGAAAAGAAGTAGTGTACGCACTGTGCATCATTCAAAACTTCTTACTAGACCAAAACGACATCTACGATATTGACACTGAAGAGAGACAACAGGCTCTAAGGCAGTACCAAACAAGGTACCCCCAACCAGAAACAGAAATGGAGGATCAGGCAGTTCAAACAGTGATGGCTATCGGAATTTGTATAAAAAGGCGTTTATTTGCTACTCGATTGCGCTGAAGACTGGAAAACTACAAGAAATTCCCTTAAGAGCGACATATGCTCTGAGTGTTGGCGGTGATGCTCTCTCAGCTCTTCTTCTTAGCGCTCCTTGATATATGAGAGTGTGGCACTTGATTGCTCCGAAAGTATTTCGCGCAGCTGGTAGTACTTGCCGTTCCGTTTTCGTTTGTTGTTTTTTCTCCCTGTATTATAAGGGTCACTTTCGGCAGCGCTATCGTCGTTTGTTTCAGGAAACATAGTGTTTGTATTGGCAGCGACCGCATCATTTTCAGCGAACCGCGGTGCAGTGGTCGAATAGGTTGAGGTTAAAGCGACCGTGTCGCTTGGTTTGATAAGAAGCTGTCTGGCTTATCAAAAAACGGTCTGGCTAATGGTTGGACTCTTAGTTCGATGATATGCTCTTCATACCAGAAACAATGGAAGCAAATACATAAGCATATTGAAACGCTAAAAAGTGTCAAAAAAAGCGCTTTACCTTGGCTCCTTCTTGCCCTCCTTCGACAGGTCAAACCATCCTGGTTCACCCGTGCTGCCTTAAATTCTGCTTGAATCGAAATCACAGATAAAACGGTACATTTATTTTAAAGCCTGAAGCTTATTCTCTATCGCCTTTTTCGAGCGCTGAGTAGATGATACTGCGTTTTTAAACGTTGTAAAAATACGTTTATGATACATGCCGTCTTTTCGCTCCTCCCACGGCCGCTCTTATCCACCTCGCGCCAAACACACTCGAGCGCCAAGGTTGTCTCTTCCGTCTAGCTACGCTTACGATCTTCAATCAGGGCAGGTTGGTCAGGAGTGGTTTCGCTTTCGGGATCGCATGCTTGCCCCGCTCCGCTGTCCATAACTTTCAAGGGGGGGGGGATTTGACGTGATGAACACTCAATCTTACAAGTTTTAAGTTTCAGGGACCCAAACGTGCACCTGAAACAATGTCATTAAATGGGGTTATCTTGGAACATATTTTTGCAGGTTTCAGGGGGAAAATGGTATGCTGAATGCGATTCTCCCTGAAACCTGGAAAATGTCACGGAAAATTCTAGATTTCAGGTTCTACTAAAGACCCCCAATGTGTGTCATATTTTGTATTTCAATATAGCCAATAACTGATTTTTACTTGATCAGAAGCCTACGCCAGTACTATTATACCATTCCGTTCCACTTCACTTGTCCTCTAATGCAAATGCGCCTCGGAATGTGTCAATATTTTTGAACAGAGACCCTGATTGGCCTATTAATAAGAAAGTATTGTGCCTTTCCAAAGTTTTGGCCAATCTGACCTTTAAAGGCTGGTCCTAAGCAAGGGTGGGTAGGGCTAAAGGTGGGATTTGAGGACGAACTGAAGAAGCCAGGCCACTAAATAAAATGATATTTGACCAATAACACTGTTTGATTTTGCCGACTATGACCCAATAATACTTGATTGTGGAGGTCCTACGTAAGGGCTCCGATTTGGTCTAAAGGGTACCTTTTAACAAATTAAGGGCTGAATGGCCAGTATTTACCGGCCATTTACCCTTACGAAGGCTGTAGGCCGGTTACCCGAGAATTTCCTGGAGATCTCCAACATGAACTTGCACTTGAATCACCGCACCTTGAATTTTGATCCTGAGCATTCTGAAATTCATGTCAGCGGCTGCTTGAGTTGTATCTTGGTTCGTCTCCATTTCCTGCGAAAGCTGATCAATGTTCCGAAGTTGTCGAAATGTTGTGTTATCAGGAACTTGCAGTGGAGCGTCAGCTGAAAGTCGAGCTTGCATTGTTGCCATGTACAGCTGTGAGGCTGGCCCACTCGAAATATTGTGATCAGCTAGCATAGCTGCTACACGGGGAACTTGCTCCTGGATTCGATTCTCGGTTGCTCTACGAATAGTGTTGGCTCTTGGTTCTGGTGGTCTTGGAACAAAAACAAAAATCATTAAAACAAAATCGGACTGACCGTGTAGACGAAGGCGAGCTAATTCCCAAGATCTGGCGACGCGACTGGAGAAATATTCCTCGTCCAACTCGAGAAATTCACGTTGTGGGGCGTGCTTGGTGGGCTTGAGATAGACGCTGAAGTCATCCTGCCAATCGTTTGGCAGACGACGAATGAATTCGGCTGCTACTTGAGCCTTGAATAGCCTAAAGCCACGGTCAATCTGAAAGGAGAAGTCGATGGGCTCGGTCTTGTTTCGGCACGAAGTAAGAGAATCGCCGTTCTTGATGGTAAGGCGGCTGGTGAGAATTGCTGGTAGTGGCAGCAACATTGTAAAACTAAAAGTGAGCCTTTAAGCCAAAGGATGCCAGGGCGTGGGAGAATACTCACGGTAGAGCTCGACAAATTTAGGAGATCATGTCAAAACGGGATGGAATTTTGCCAAATGTCATAAGATGTGGACACAATCTGTTTCGGGTTTGTAAATCTATCTTAAAATGTGTATTAAACCCAAGATCTGTATATTTGCAATAAAGTAGGGATTAAGCCAATCAAGAACGTTTATGCCCAGGGAATTATCCCATCTGCCATCCGCCGAACGCCGATTGGACAGAACCTCCAGGTGGTGCAATTATTTTCGGAAATCCTATCCCGACTGATCTATATGAAACTCATCCCCGAAGGGATGTGGCGTGCCGACCCAAACACTTGGTTATGTCTCCGATCCGACGAAGGACTTGCACACGACACTTACCTCAAGCATCGAGCTCCCTACAGACATGGGAATTGAACCCACACCACCTGTTAGCTGACGGGCTAATCAGGCGCATGCAAACCAGTTGCCCAGAATGCATACTAATATTTTAATAAAATTATGTCAAATCTGGTCAAATATGTCTTTGATTGGCATCATCTTTTTTTTTCGTCAAAGGGTTAGGCTATATCTTAGTCGGAAGCACCCGAGATCTTCCGTAAGGGCCATTCTCCTACGTAGGACCATAAAACTGAGGGCGTTTTGGCAGAAAGGCACAATAGTAGAAAGCTGGCAATAATCTGGTTTCACAGCGGCCAAAAATACATGTAATCGTTGTTCGCCTATAAATTCCCTGCACATTATCTCTAACTTAAAAAAAAGTTTAAATCAGAGGCGGAAAAATTGAAGGGGACAAGTGAAGTGGCACGGAGTGGTATGCACCGAAAAAAAACTATGGAGCGAGCTGGGGGTATCCAAAATTTAGAAATAGGGCAATGTGCTACCCAAAAGGCATTTTGTGTTTTGGACCATCAGCTCATGGTACTTCGTAGGAAATTTACGTTTTAGAGTGTCCGAAGATAGCTTTCTGTCCATAGTTTTCCCTCACCTATGAGCGGGTAGATTAGCTGGTGGTAATTCAGAGTTCTAAAATACCCACATTTTTTAGGAAGACTGGGTGGGTGTGACTTGGAGGTGGAATAAAATACCAGTTTGTTTTTACAGCGATGACGTCTTAGCTCGCACCATACGTATTTTATAAACCCAACAGATTTTGTCCTTAAAAAGCGGACGAAATGAGATGCAAGATCGTCAAATTCCAATTGTTTATGTCCTTTTAAGGACAGCAATATCGCGCTGTTTTGACTACCCTCCTTATACATGTACATTTTGTTTTTGCTGATACATGTACGCACCAATTTACCGTAATCTGGGCGGTTAAAAGTAACTCGGTGCAGCTAAACGGGTATTCATGTAAACCGACACAAATTTTAAGCAGTCGTGTCTCCTGAAGAACTTGTCAAGCACGCTTTAGTTTTTTACCTTCAAGTTCTAACCAAGTTCCTCCGTTAAACCATGGTCTAAACGTCGAATGCGACGCCGCTGCTCTACGGCTGCTCGGAAGTGGGCTGCAATTCTAATGGCGGCATGTAGAGGATGCATAGGAAAGCCGCGTCTGCAATAAGTGCACGCGAGCTCACTAGTGGTTGCTTCGGAAACCCCTTTTCATTTAAAATACAATAACCCCCCCTGCAAAATGATGGATCGTTCAAAAAAAACAAACAAATAAACCAAAATTCATTGAGAACTACGACCACCAGCAGAATGTGTGATCGTGGCGATAACGAGTTTCAAGCGCTAGGTTTGACTAAGCTCGCTTCCCATGCGGCATACGATTTTCGCCCGCACAACCCAGACGGTTAGACCTATTTTACTCTACCGATATTTTGAACCAGTATCTACGATAAGATCGGCGTGGCATTACCAATCATCCACACATATCGTCCTCCATAAGGTCCTTTCCCTTCTCCTCTCCCAGAAGACACGTTCTCTTCCTGGCAAGTGACCAACCTCCCCATGGATGCTTTGCGCACGGAGCTCTTCAGTCCTCACTCTTAAATTTCCCTCGGCCAGCCGAGGACTCCGTTCGGTTGACTATCCAGCCGAACGACACACGAGCCGCGACACCTCTAGCTGTTTCCTACCTTTTCGACGGAGTCCAAGATGAGCTTGTTGCAGCCCGAGGCCAACGATGCTGGCGAAGAGGTGCCCGGCGTGTACCGATCGCTCAACTTCCGCAGTCTACAGGACCCGTACTCGCACCGCGGAGGTGACACGATGACGAGTCGATACAGCACGCTGCGAGCCGACAACCTCGAGACGATGCTCAACGGCGGTCTCGAGCGTTTCTACAAGAAGTACAACCATTTGTCACGCAAGATCAACCTGCAGCTACCGACGCCCGAGGTGCGCTTTGAGAACCTGTCGTTCTCGGTGCAGGTGCCGGCGGAGGCTGGTGCCTACGGCACGGTTGGCTCGCACCTGAGCTCCATCTTCACACCGTGGCAGAAGGTGCCCATGACCACCAAGCACGCGCTGCATCCGATGAGCGGCATCATCAAACCGGGCTCTATGACGCTGATTCTGGCCAACCCTGGTGCCGGCAAGTCGACGTTTCTGAAGGCATTGGCCGGCAAGCTGCAAGACAACAAGCAGACGGAGATCGGAGGGGAGATCCTGTACTCAGGTTTAAAAGGTGAAGACATTGACCTGATCAAGCTGGTGGGTCTGGTTGACCAGACGGACAACCACATCCCGACACTCACGGTGCGCGAGACGTTCAAGTTCGCAGACATGTGCGTGAACGGGCGTCCGGAAGACCAACCGGAGGAGATGCGCGACATCGCCGCTCTTCGCACCGAGCTGTTCTTGCAGATCCTGGGTCTGGAGAACTGTGCCGACACCGTGGTGGGTAATGCGCTGCTGCGAGGTGTGAGTGGTGGTGAACGCAAGCGAGTCACGGTGGGGGAGGTGCTGGTCGGTGGCCAGAGTCTGTTCCTGTGTGACGAGATCTCCACGGGTCTGGACAGTGCAGCGACGTTCGACATCATCAAGGCGCTTCGCACGTGGTGCAAGACGCTTGGCGGTTCGGTCATTGTGGCACTACTGCAACCGACGCCTGAGGTGGTGGAGCAGTTCGACGATATCTTGATGGTCAACGAAGGTCACATGGTGTACCACGGACCTCGCACCGAGATCCTCGACTACTTCGACGAGCGCGGCTTCAGCTGTCCTCCACGTGTGGACCCGGCCGACTTCTTGATCGAGGTGACGTCGGGTCGCGGAGACAGCTACTCGAACGGTAAAGTGGAGCGGAAGGACTTGGCCGTGACGTCCGAGGACTTCAACAACCTGTTTTGCCAGTCGAGCATCTACATGAAGACGCACCAGGCAATCAGCAAGGGCTTCAACGAGCACCAGTTTGAGAACCCGGAAGACTTCCAGAAGGCCAAGAGCGTGGCCAACCTGGCGCGCTCGAAGCAGAAATCGGAGTTCGGGCTGGCGTTCGTCCCAAGTACCATGTTGCTGCTGAGCCGTCAGAAGCTCATTTGGCTGCGAGACCCGCCGCTGCTCTGGGGAAAGCTGTTTGAAGCCCTGATCGTGGGTCTTGTGCTCGGTATGATCTACTACAACGTGAGCTCGACGTACTACCTGCGTATGATCTTCTTCAGTATCGCGCTGTTCCAGCGTCAAGCGTGGCAGCAGATCACCATCTCGTTCCAGTTGCGCGGCGTCTTCTACAAGCAACGGCCACGCAACTTCTTTCGCACGACGTCGTACGCTATTGCGGAGACGGTGGTGCAGATTCCGGTGAACCTGTCGGTGTCGTTCATCCTGGGCACGTTCTTCTACTTCATGAGTGGACTGACCCGGACGTTCGAGAAGTACATCATCTTCTTCCTGGTGCTCGTGTGCTTTCAGCACGCCATCGGCGCGTACATGACGATGCTGAGCTCTCTGTCGCCTAGTATCACGGTGGGTCAGGCGCTGGCGGGTATCTCCGTGAGCTTCTTCCTGTTGTTCTCTGGTAACATTATTCTGGCCGACCTGATCCCGAACTACTGGATCTGGATGTACTGGTTCAACCCGCTGGCGTGGGCGCTGCGCAGTAATATGCTGTCCGAGTTCTCCAGCGACCGGTACACGCCCGCACAGAGCACCAAGTTCCTGGACAGCTTCTCGATCTCGGAAGGAACAGAGTACGTCTGGTTTGGCATTGGCATTCTGGTGGCCTACTACCTGTTCTTCACGACGTTGAACGGGCTGGCGCTGCACTTCATCTGCTACGAAAAGTACAAGGGTGTTAGTGTGAAGTCCATGACGGACAACGCTCCGGAGGAAGACAACGTGTACGTGGAAGTGCGCACGCCCGGGTCCGGGGACGTCGTGCAGGCAAAGGCCCGTGGCGCCGGTCTGCCGTTCACGCCGTCGAACTTGTGCATCAAGGACTTGGAGTACTTCGTGACGCTGCCGTCGGGCGAAGAGAAGCAGCTACTGCGTGGCATTACGGCACACTTCGAGCCCGGTCGCATTGTGGCTCTTATGGGTGCAACGGGTGCCGGCAAGACGACGCTGATGGACGTGATCGCCGGCCGCAAAACGGGCGGACGCATTGTTGGTGACATCATCGTGAACGGCGAGGCCAAGAACCCGGCCAACTTCAGTCGCATCACGGCGTACTGCGAGCAGATGGACATTCACTCGGAGGCCGCGACGATCTACGAGGCGCTGGTTTTCTCCGCCAACCTACGATTGCCTCCCACGTTCACGGAGAAGGAGCGGATGAACCTTGTGAGCGAGACGCTGGAGCTGCTGGAGCTGTCGCCTATCGCTGGCGAGATGGTGGGTCGCTTGTCTGTGGAGCAGAAGAAGCGTGTGACGATCGGTGTGGAGGTGGTGGCCAACCCGAGCATCCTGTTCCTGGACGAACCCACGAGTGGTCTGGATGCTCGTTCGGCTCTCATCGTGATGCGAGGCGTGCAGTCGATCGCCCGCACGGGCCGTACGGTGCTGTGCACGATCCACCAGCCTAGCATCTCGATCTTCGAGCTGTTCGATGGACTACTTCTACTTCAGAAGGGAGGTTTCACGGCGTACTTCGGCGACCTTGGCGTGGACTCGGTGAAGATGCTCGAGTACTTCGAGTCGATCCCCGGAACGCAGGAAATCCGACCGCAGTACAACCCGGCCACGTACATGCTTGAAGTGATTGGCGCGGGTATCGGCCGTGACGTCAAGGACTACTCGATCGAGTACAAGAACAGCGAGCTGTACAAGTCGAACCGTGAACGCACTCTTGAGTTGGCCGAGGTGTCGGAAGACTTTATATGCCACTCGACGCTCAATTACACACCGATCGCGACGGGCTTCTGGAACCAGCTGGGTCACTTGGCTAAGAAGCAGCAGCTCACGTACTGGCGCAACCCGCAGTACAATTTCATGCGCATGTTCCTGTTCCCGTTGTTCGCTGTCATCTTCGGCACCACGTTCTACCAGCTGTCTGCGGGCAGCGTGAAGAAGATCAACTCGCACATTGGTCTCATCTACAACAGTATGGACTTTATCGGAGTCATTAACCTCATGACGGTGCTGGAAGTCACGTGTGCCGAGCGCGCCGTGTTCTACCGTGAACGCATGTCGAACTACTACGGTCCACTGCCCTACAGTCTATCGCTGTGGTTCGCCGAGGTTCCCTACCTGATCATCGTGATCGTGCTGTTCGTGACGATCGAGTACTGGCTCGTGGGCTGGAGCGACAACGGAGGCGACTTCATCTTCTTCATGTTCGTCTTCTACCTCTACACGTCGGCGTGTACGTACGTGGGTCAGTGGATGTCTGCTCTGATGCCCAACGAGAAGGTGGCGAACGTGGCTGTCGGTGCGCTGTCGTGTCTGTTCAATCTGTTCTCGGGCTACCTGCTGCCGCGTCCGTCGATGAAGGCCGGTTACAAGTGGTTCACGTACCTGATGCCGTCGAGCTACTCACTTGCAGCACTTGTGGGCGTGCAGTTCGGCACTAACCAAGACATCATAACGGTGACGATGGGCAACGCGTCGACGGACATGACGGTGTCCGCCTACATCGAGAAAACGTACGACTTCCGTCCTGAGAGCAAGTACAATTTTATGGCGGGACTGCTGGTGATCTGGGTCGTGCTGCAAGTGGCCATCTACCTCACGTTCAAGTACGTGAGCCACCTTAAGAGATAAGTAGAAGCGCAAGGGCTTGATCGCTGCTGTAGGTTTATCTTGATGGTCTTAAGCGGCATTCGTTTTGACATGTGAATACCAGATAAAAACGTTTTGTATTTCAGAGTCCTCATTTCTTAGTCGTCTGTTAAGTTTTATTAGCGACTTCGTAAACGTACTCGACGATGTAAACTCAGCTGGAGCACGCTTGTATTGGTTTGAAACGGGTCGCGAGTTCCTCTAGCAATCCATAATCTTCCTGGAAGCACTTTTGATGCCTATGACCAGGGCTCCCGATGGCACATGATAAAAAAATAGATTCCAGCGAAAATGTCAACACGGCAGTACACCGGTAGCGGGTCGCAATGATCGAAATCGAAGTATTGTTCTTCTTCTCTGCCGATAAACTCGTCCGCATCGTGCGTCTTATAAAGCTGCAAGCTGTGACGTTAGATTAATGCACTGAGCAGTGCCAACACACCACACCAACGTTGCCGTCACTTTCACAATTGTCTTGTCTCTTAAGAAAATAAACGGTAATATTTTTTTATATTTACTGGTCAACCATCAAAATGTTGTACCATTAGCCCCTGATTATTAATATACCCCTTATTTTTCATAGATCGGTTTTTACCGATTCCGTCACCACACCCTGACAAAAGCTTTGTACAGCACAATACATGTACAAAATGTATGTTATTCTTTGCTGCTGCAACAAACGAAGGCTGAAGTCTGACTGTGACATTACGTCAGCTTCGCGAAAGAAAAAGCTTGAGCGAGACTGAATATTGAGCAAGATAATTGCGAGCGAGATACGCGGAAACAATACGTTGATATCTAGTATTCCGCGTTTTAAAGGATTCCCCCTTACACCTCCTCTCGAACCATGTCTAGACCATTCTTTCTTAAGTATTCGTAGCGCTGCACCGACTCGACGATAGACTCACGAGCCATTCTTAGCATGAACTACTTGAGCTCATCCGAGTCGTACGCAGCTTCTTCAAGTTGCGGGGTCACTTTTGGCCAAATCGAAAGATCGCGGAGGCCCTTCTCCTTCTCATGCTTAAAGCGCTTCATCATCCGCGCCGTGTACGCGGCCACATCGATTGGGTACAAATACACCGACACGAACTTAGCGTACGGACCCGAGAAGATCCTCTTCACCAGTTCTGCTTCTGCAATCGCCCCTTCGATTACAATTGGGCTACTTGGGTGCTGCCGGAAGAAAGAGTGAATGTGCATCACAAATGCGTCCATAACAGGAGCAGGAAGAGTATTCTTGTAAACCTCAAACATTGCTGGATACTTAAACCCAAACGCTTGCCCAACATGCATCACCGCTTTGTCGAGCTCCAATACTCTATAGCCTTTCAGACGATTTGAAAAGTACGTTTTCTCGGCGCCGCTCTTCGCTGTCACGAACACATATTTCGTAGAGCTCACAGATGCGCTGGATCGCCTCCTCCATCGCTGTTGGTCACGAGCGCTTATTATAAAGAAATTTGAGGACTTGTCAAAATCCAGAAAAAAGTACAGCAAAAAGTGTACTTGTAAATACAGTCGGGTGCAAAATTATAGCCACACCCTCAGTAGAGGTGAGCAAAGAGGACTTAGATTGCAACTTTACGTAAGAATACACTTCAATGTAAATGATGCGTATGATTAAATAAAGTTTTCAAGGTACCGTTGTCATGGAGGATTCAAATGCAGGATTTTGAGGTCTGAGAGGATACAGTGTCAAAGGTTATTAGTTTTTAAATCTACTAAATTATAGCAAAAATACTGAATCGGAGACATTCATTGCATTTGTGTCGAGCATTCGTAAGAATCTTAGAAAATAAAAATAAAAGCCAAACCTTACCTAAATAATTAGTGACACTTGGTTTTATCTCCAGCAGCCCATCCAGCAGATCGCGAGCGTTCAAGAAGGTTAAGCTCGTCCGACTGCAGTTTCTTGGAAATTGACTCGATGTCGCCCATTTCCGTCAGCAGCGCTTTGAGTCTACGATTAGTGGCTGGTGATGGTAGTAGCTCGACCAGGTTTTCGTCGTCCGAGTTTATAAACTCTCGGAGCTCAAAATCGTGAGCCAGCATCGCGTACGTCGACCCCCAGCGACGAGGGACTTACGCTAAATACGTCAATTTCATTGGGGTTAAAAGTAAATTGATTAACCCCTCTAATCCGAAGATTATTCCGGAGTATCCATAATTCCTAATATATGACTTAACGTATGCCGGAAAATAGCCGTTTCGCGTGACACGTGCCCTGATTATGGCATGTGATTGGCTAATTGTGAATGATGTGCCGAACAGAACCTGTCCATAAAACTTTCAATTGCGATCTCCCTGCAAAACCGTTACACCGTACAGCAACAACAAGACAGCACTAGAAGGCCAGCACTCACACAACTGCTCATTCACTTACTCCTCGTCGACCTCGCTCTCAACTTCGGGCCTCCGCTTCCTAACAAACCTGATCTTGTGCTGCATCTCCGGGGGGATGTCCATGCCGCTCTTCCAGCTCTGGTGCCACACCTCATTGCATGTTAGAGCGCTACCGTGCTCCAATCTGCGTGCCTTGTTACACAAGGTGACTCTCCCCTTCTTGACCGTTGAGCACGAAGCAGAGAAGTAGCTGGTCTCGTAGCTCCGTACGCCGGGCCCAGCGTACGCTGAGCACACCTTGCACAACCACTGACGACGCTTCACACCGTTCATTTCCTCGGTCTTCTCGAGTGTGTGGGGTTGACATGGGATAGGCTCTATAACTAGATCTGCTAAGTCGTCACCAGCAGCAAAATCCTCACTTGCTTGATTCAACTGATCGGTATGCAGTCGCCGCATGAATGTCGCATGGGTCGGCACCGGTTTCCCGCGGCTGCGCATCGCAATCTTGTGGACGATGAACGCGTTCACCATTGCAATATCAACGAGACCGAGAAATATCGTCTTGTAGTACTTCCGCATGCGAATCAAGCGTTGGATGGAGTATCGCTGCAGGCGTAGCTGGTCGTGAACGTCTACTCCCCCCATCGCCTCGTGGTAGTCGCGCACAAGCTGGAGGCATGGCACGGCAGAAATGGAGCCATCGCGCTCTCTACGGGAGACTTGAGTGGTGTGTGTTGAGCACCCCGTCGCCAGAAATCTAAAAGGCTTATTATCTATCCACGTAAGCGCAACGAAGTCACGGCGCCTCTTCCACACAGCCATCTTGCACGTTCCGGGCGGCATACGCTTCGGTCGTCTCTTTTGTGTGAGCTCAATGGCCGCACACCAGCCCTTGCGATCTTTCCTGATAGTTCCCACGTGGCGATGGCCCATGCTCAGCGGCTTGTCCGATAGCGGGATTGACTAGTAGAAGTTGTCAGTACAAATGAGGCGTTGTGAAGGCTGCCCACGAAGGACTTTGGTAATATTTTTGACCACAGATTGCTGCGCGACAGCCTCTTTGTCTTGATTTGCCTTACCGCAATAGATATCCAATCTACACAGTACAACATAATTCAGTTAGCAAGATATTACGGCTCATACAGAATACATTACAGACCAGACAGATTATAATTACTACGGATATCCATCTTGTAAGACAGATATCCGTAACAATCGTACTTCGTACCTGGAGCAGTAGGCGGTGTCTGCACAACACGTCAGGTAAAATTTGGTGCCTCACTTGTTTGGCTTTGCCGGCATGTACTGGCGCATTGGGTTGCGGCGATGACGCATCGCCACCATCCCTTCGTCGAACGAAATCCGTGCACCCATTCGGTATCCTCTGAAGAACGTCTTCTGCAACGCTTGAACCACGGGCCGAATTTTGGAGGCCCGATCCCCACTGTCAGACTGTCGTTCGTTGTCGTTGAAGTGGAGATACCGCGCAATGTCTTAGAACCGGTCGCCACTCAAGAACTGGCCAAACGTGCCGCGCGCGAGTGCATTCTCGACCTTCGTCACCCAGTGTCGACTTAGACTTTCTCGGCGTGGCTCTAGTGCTCGTGCGATAAGCAAACCGATGAACCGAATGATTTCGTGAGGCCGGATGGATGGCTTGCACGCTAGTTTTGCCTTGTACTCATCAATGGTCAGCACTATTGTTGAGGGAACGCGTTCGGGCTGCTGACGTGCCCGTGCACGCATTTGCTGCGCAGTACTGTCGATGCTGTCCATACGGTACTTGTTCGTCTCGGCTGCAATCTTTCGCCACAGCTCCTTCGGCAGGAAAAAGTAAAATATCGCGATAGGATTCTCCGCGTATGCCAGCGCAGCTCGGGCTGGACCAGATGGGCCGTCGTAGAGGGGTAATGCATCGTGTCGCACTTAGCCCGCGCGGTGTTCATCGAACACCTCCCACCCCTCTGCTTGAAGTATGTCAAGCTCTGGACCAGTCACGTCAAACTCCACTGGCACTTCGTCACGCTCAGTTGCCATGTCGTCATCAACTTGGTCATCAACAGCAACAGCAGCTGCCTCGTCCACTTCATCGTTTTCGTCCGTCAGAATGGACTCTTCATCACCTTCGGCTTCGGAATCTAGAGAGAGCAACCAGTCGCCACCTCCAATGTTTATATCATCAGCACCTGTTGGCCCAAACAGCCGGTCCCGTCGCAGTGCATCCAAGAAGTTATCCGAATCGAAGTCATCCAGAGAAATTCCAGCTTGCTCCGCGCTTGGAACTGCTGTCGGAGTGGGTTCCGCCGTAATAGACGATTCAGGAGTTTACTCAACCTCGACAGGGGTATCCGGAACAGGTTGCGGGGTATTAGTCGTGGTGCGTGAGGTCGTTTCCTGAACACCAGGAACTGCACAATCCGTAGCAAGAAATTTGGTATATATTTTGTAACAGTCAGCATCAGAAACCCAAACGTACCAGTACGGGGCCGTTTCGTGGACGTTCTTGTACTCGATGTCCTGCGCTTGCCTTTCGGTCGAGGTTGCGGATCCATTTTAATGTCGTGTGCCGAAATAGTTGCCTTGCTTGCGGGTCGTGGTCTGCTAGAAGCTTTGGCCTTGCCAGGTGCAGGTGG